CAACGACAGTGCAAGCTGAGGCGCCTGAGTACATCCCATCGGTGACCACGCCATGTGAGTCACTTCCACCAGGAGAGATGCGACGTCCTCGTCAGCAGCGCTTCTCATCAGAGAGGAGACAAAACACGCACAGGCAAAGTGGCTCACTTGGAGGTGTCCTTGAGATTGTTTTCCGAGCACCACGAGCAGTCCTCGTTTAGGGGAATTCACACCCACGTATTCCCAAACATTCAGGAGTTCAGGCTATTTCAAGGACATGGTATTCATTTTGACTTGGGATGTTCTCTTAAACACCTGGATCACAGGAATTCTGCGCATCCATTAGTTTGACTTTTTTCTTTCTAAGTTTGCAAAGTAGACATAACGTTCCATGAATTCACACGCATACATACACATAAATAAGCCCTTAAATTGGCACATGTTCACTCACTGACTGTTGTGGGGAGGAACTATGGGACACTGGGTGCACATGAATAACCCACATCCTCCCTGTGACTTATGCACACAAGTACTGTTTATTCATGCTTCTGCGACGCGTCCAGTGGTCAACAGTCATGTGGGTGCAGCCTTATCCTAGAAGTTAATGAGTGGGGGGGGAGAACAAAAACAACAGACACCTGTTTATTAGAACGATCAACTCAGTATTCCTCCCCCAAGAAAAAAAAACCCTCCCTTCAGTCTCGACATTTCAGCAAGACAAACGAAAGGGTTTCATCAAGCCTCACATTTAACTTTGTTGGCAATGGAAAACGAATTGGTTATTATTTTCATTTTGTATTCAGTGTAATAAATAAACCTAGACTGAAATAGGTTGGTATTTCTTTGTAGTTGCTTCTTAATATGTGACTCTTCTTTGTCGTTTTACATCTTCGTGGTTAGCGGCCTTTTTGGTTTTCTGAATTGTGTCTCTATGCGGCCGTTGCATGCATGTTTTTATGGTTTTATGTTCTTAAAAGTCTCTCCAAGTCCCAGTTAATATCTTCATTCCTCTACACGCGTGGTGCATCGCACCCTACATTCAGGTCATAAAATAGTGACTAATGGCTTCAGGTAACAAAGGAAATGGCTCAGAAAAGCATTTAAAGGCCTGTCCTATGGACGAAGTAAAGTACAAAAAGCTTTATGTCTGGACTGTCTGTCCTCATCTGGTTTGAATCATAACGCAGCCCAACCCACCTCCCATCAGCTCTCTCTCCCCACCTCCTGCTTGTGTCAGCCTCCAGATGTTGGTCACAACCTTTCAACATTCCAACTGCTACTCCACTAACTGCCCTTACAAATATACACACACACACACAAACGCATACGTCTCACACACACACACACACACACACACACACACACACACAAGGAAGTTCAAAGCCGTGCCAGAGGGGAGCAGGTGGCTAGAAACAACACGGCGTATTTAACCAGTTCTATCAGAGGCAACAGCTTGGATGTTCAAACTCCGTTCATCCGGAGAGACACTGGCCAGGAAACAGACGCTCCATTGCTCTGTAATGATCTTCTATCCACGTGCGCTTTGACGCTGCTTTAACTCCTTTAACGTTGCTGCGTGTGGCTGGGAACGATGGTACTGACCTGTTCTTATCTTCTGTTTTAACCGGTTTTCTCTGTTGGTCAGAAGCTCAAGTTTAGCAGCCAAAGGATTTTGTCGGCCCTGCGATCGCCTGGCAACTTCCTAACAGGGGGGGGTACACGATGTCGGGTACCAGCACCCCCCCAACAAGCGGTTTGGGGTAACGGGTGGATTGGATCATCTAAGATGCTCCACTGAAGAGGAGCGACACAAAGAGGCATCCCTCTGTGCAGCCAAGTCTCTAAATAAAACATTGAAATGTTTTGCTTGTGAAGTCATTCATTAATTCTTCAAAGCGGGACAAGAGGGCCTCGACAACGGCACGACTGAACATAAGGTCGTCGGCTAAATTGACTTTTTCTGAAGAAAAAAGTCTGGGACAGATTGCTTTCTGTGTGGTTTTTAAATGTGCACCTATTAACATTTAGGCACAGAAAAGACCTTTTGTCAAACATATTTGTCTGGTATGCTTGGATTGGTCGTGAGACTGGGGGTTATTTGGTTTCTTTTCCCAGTAGGGAAAATGATGGCAAACATTCACCGGCTGCATTTGAACAATTATCTGTCTGTATAAATCTTACAAATAAAGAGAATTAGCGGTTTAAAGACACTTTAAGTTGGGCTCATCTTGGGTATAATCTGACCAGACCCAGAGAAATGACAGTTACAGACATTCAGTTAATGTCTATTAGAGATATAAATGTGGTTTCATCGGTTGTTACCTGGGCATTAGGTAGACGTCTACTAACCTTTACTACTTTCCCACATTTAACCGTGTCTTTGACTGCATTATCTGGCTGCTATAGCATTTGTGACCAAGTTCATTTTGCAGAAAAAGTGAATCCATAAATCCTGTTATGCAATAAGCATTTAATTGCATGCATTCATTGCATGCTGCCTTTCCATTTGTCTCCACATACAAATGAATCACCGCACACACACACACACACACACACACACACACAGAAACCTTCCCTCCTCTCCGCAGGATCGAGCACATGAAAGGAGGAAAAAACCCTTCCTTTTGTCCTTCATCAGTCCTGCAAACCCCGTCAGTGGCTACGCTGCCCCCCCACACACACACACACACACACACACACACCACTCCACCTTCAAGATCTGGATTCAATAACTCCCAGATCTTCAAAAACCCTTCGACAAACACACACACGCAGATATGAGAACACACACACACACACACACACTATAAAAAGGGCAAACACATTTGACTGAAACATTCTACGGCATTTGGACTGTGTATAAATCGAAGCTAGTTAGACAGTACTGATGGTAACTAGTATTCCTGAATAATGGTTTAAACATCTTTTAATCCCTTCCCCCTCCTCTTTCTTTGTGGTTTCACAATAAGCTCATTACATGACAAGAGACAAGAGAATGGAACTTTTCCAGTTTCTTTTGGACGCAGCTCGTGTTGTTTCATACTGAGAATAATAAGCTTATTAAGTTGCATGTCTGCGCTGTATAATGAGGCCGAATACAAGAAAAAATAATCATAATTTGGTTTGGTGTGCGACTGACAGGCAACAACATGACATTTTCACTCAACTCTTTGTGACACACGCGCACACACAAGCAAAGTTGATCCTAAAGTTTCAATAAGCGCACACGGCTCACACTAATTGACCTCTGGTCTCTCTCCATCTCATGCCGTGTCCAGACAAAAGGTCCTGTGGTTACATACTGGCACTACTCTGCACTAAGTGCGACCCCAGTGTTGATAGTCGGTGTGTGTGTGTGTGTGTGTGTGTGTGTGTGTGTGTGTGCGTGTGTGCGTGTGTGAGTGTGTGCTTGGTGGATTTTCCCTGATTTACAAGAGAGGCTTGAAACTCAATCAAATCTGCGACCGCTACGAACGGCTCCATCCACTCCAAACGTCGGGCCGGGATCCAACGGCTCCACCGTCTGGATAAACACGTCTGAAGCACCGTGGAACGGCCCGACTCCTCCAATCCCCTCCAGAATCCCTGCTTCCGTCTTCACACCGAGCCTTCAGAGCGTCCAGACCAAGAGTTCCCAGTAAAACGGTGGGGAGGGAAGGACGCACTGCAGGCTTCTCTGTAAGGCCCTAATGGCTTCAGCGTGTTGGCACTATGGAGCGACTCTCTGCACATGTTAGGAAGGGAGTGTGTGGTCTGCAGAGTGATGAGGAAGTACACTTTCCTCTACGACGAAAAAGACAACATGCATTGGTGCCGAGAGGACGTGGCCGTGTCCTTGGTTTGAAAACAGGCATCGGGGGTTACGGACACAGTCATCTTCTAAATGGAACGCTGTATGAGAGAGCACATCCGTCCACGGCAAAGCACACGGAGCTAAAAGTCACGCGCACGGAGATCATTTAAATATTTTGAGCATCTTCACATACGGTGCAGCATGTGTGTGTGTGTGTGTGTGGCTTTTTAGACCACTTTTACCTCCATTACTAACTTGAGCTTGTACAGATGTAAATAAACAGAGATAGATGAATGGATGCATGGACGCTCAGAAGCTCAGCTCTCAAAGGTAATTCTTTACTGCCATCTACTGAGCGCTTAACATCAGTGCGTCTCGTGCACTCTCTTTAGTATTTGGCGCATATTAATCTGCATCAACACATATTCTATGCAACACCCACTGACAACACTTAGTGGCGTTGAAGATACAGAACGAGTGTTTTCACACAGACATGGAGTGTAATAACAAAATGTGTTTAATTTATGTTCACATTTTGTATAATTCTAATCACGCTCGCTTCGTTTCAGCCTGAAAGAAAACGGTGGAGCGACTTCAGACGGATGCAAAACCAGAATTTGACAATTATGCTGAAGGCCGTGTAGTTTGTTTTTTTCAAGTGTAATTTTCAGGTTTTGGGTTTTAGGTCAATTGTTTTGTTTATTTTGTAACTGCTTTTCATTGTTCATATTTGTACGATGTAAACGACCTTTGACCAGCTTCTAAAAGCGCCATACAAATGTTTTCTTTAATAAAAAAAACAACCTTTCAACGTCGATCCATTCACAACTGTAGAGCTACTTAGCCAATAGCCAATCTATTTGCAGCTGGGCAACAGCTGGCCTCTCACTCAGTGTGCATGAGTCCACCCAGCCACTGAGCTAGAATGGAAGAATTATGGTAAATAACAGCAACCGATGGTATTGTTTAAGTTTAGGCGGAATTATATTAATGTATAAGACACCAAGTATTAATAGGACCAGGTTTCTGCTCTCAAATGACCTGTAAGGTCAAGACGACGGTGTAACTGATCTTTATGAACAGGGTTGTGGCCCAAAGTGAGCTATTTTCATTTTCATTTAAGGGTGTAGTTACTTTGTAAAAGGGGGTTCAATCCCCCACAAAATCCACCACATTTTAAAGCGTTGAATTGAACCGTCCGACACCAAGAGAAAAAAAACGATGAATGTGCCGAGGAACATCTGATTCTTTATTCAGCCTGTACAAAAAAAAAACTTGTGAATTTTGATCGAGCAACTGTACATTGGTAAGAACAGCGCCAACGTATCTTTATTTTCCAGAATAAACCGAAGGTCAAATTTCTTTTTACAAATTGTTTGGATCAAACATTCAAAGGAAGGAAAGTTGAGAAATACCCCAGAAACCCCCCACAGCGTACACACGGAACATAAATCACCAGACTAAGTCACCTATTCCCGATCAAACAGAATACACTGTGGTCGATACTCGCAAACAATTCAGTTTGTTGCAAACAATTAAACTCGAGTTCAAACAGAACGTGAAGCAGACTGTCAACGCGGGGCGGGGAACGGTCTCCAAAACCAGACCGGTGAATCCGAATAACTTGTTCACCATCCTCATTGTTTGGAGACCTGGGGGAGAAATGTGCCCTGGTGGCACATCATCATCTCGCCGCGTTGGGCTGTGATCCTGCAGCAACACGCGTCCCTCACAGTGTAATCGCGTTCTCAGGGGGAACACGGTGTGAACATATGGCTTTGGGGAGAGTCACGTCTTGCTCGTGGGCTGCCGAGGTGGAGGGAGGAAGGTTTAGAGTAGAAGGATCATAATTAGCACTACTGATTGGATATTGGGGCTTAGATCATTTTGGAGCGCTTCCATCACTTAAATCTGCTATTCTGAGACAAGCGCGTGCTCGGGACCACGTGTGCCTCTAACGAACAAGGTGCTTTATGAACAGTTTGGAGGTGATTTGTGTGCTTATGATCACCAACAGGTATCTTTACAGACTGCGAGCCGTCGTCGTAGCGTTTACCGCACAACAGGACCCGTTGCCATCTGGTGTTATTACCATCAGACGTTTACAGATTCAGCTGATGAGATTTCAACATGAGGTCATGTTTAACTCCTTTTCTTAGCCGGTGGGATTTTGCTTCAACGTGTTTTTACTTAATTTTTTTTTTTTTTCTTTTTTACAAAAGCACAAGATCACAACCAAAGCTTGAAATTGCAAAAGTATTGCTAGGACCAGAGGGCAGTCAGACTAAAAACAAACAAGTGTACATAGGCAATTACTCTAAATGTTTGATTTTCTAATGGAATTTTTGTTATACACAGACACAGTCAAGACTGTAATAGTCTATCCTCCTTACTGCTCTATTGGTACAAACGCTTAAATAAGGAGAAAAATAAACAAGTTTTACGGCAGGGGAGAAAACAGACATGCAGAAAATTCCAGAATGTACAGCAACTATGTTAGTGCACTGCGTGGAACACATTCGGATCTTCTTGCAAATACCCAATGTTATGTCTTTATTTCATAAAAAATACGTTGAGCAAGAATCCACTTTTGAGTGTGGACTCTGCACATGATGCTTAATAATCCCATAGAACGGCAAAAAGTCCCACCTCCCCTAGTGTACTTTCTACTAATACTTCCCCACCTGCAGCCCATCATACAGCTTTATGGTGACTTATGTGTTCGGTTCTCCAGCACAAGTCTCCTGCAACGAGACCTGGAAAACTCGGTGGTATTATCTTCTAGATTTGACTGTTGTGTGCAAATCCTCTTAAGCATTTCGGTTTACTGATGGTTGAGTTTTAAGTGTCTTGTTCTTTTAAAACAAACGTCTATACATAAAGGCCTCAAGTGAAAGAAAACTGTTTCATTAGCATAGAAGAGAAAAGGAGTGCAACAAGCCCCCACCAACATCGAAACAGCAGAGTCCCTTGCTACAGTTGAAATGCAAAGTAATTTACGTTTTATAGAAATTCACAGCTGCTTGGGGATGTGTATACAAGTCAATTGTCAATTAGAAGTTTGCATGCATACGTTTTAATTGTCAACGGCAGAAAGGCATATTCTGGCCATGAAGTTGTTTTAAAGTTACTTGAGCTGTTGAGTTGGAGCTTGTTTGAGGTGTCAAGTAAACCAGTTGAGACAAAATCCTTTTTTTAGGGGAGAATTTAAGTGGAAAGCAAGGTGCAGCATTACAATTGTAAACAAACCTCAGGATACATGCTCACAGCCAACTCAAAAGCTCTACATGTCATTCAGAGAAGGGGATTATTACGGCGATTTAAAAAGGAATGCAGACAGAAAGACACAAGTCACCGATACTCTAAAAATAATGTTATGAAATGCTGGAATGTTAGGTATTCCTGAAATAATATCAGTAGCAATTGCAAAATTAAGCAGTGACGGCTGCAGGTGGATAACTTCGTGATTGAAGCTGACCCCGTCCACTTCCCAGACTTCTGTGACCAGCGAGTGGACCGGTAGAGATGTGGGGTGAGGCCCAGCCGCTTCGGTGTGGCTGCAAAGCCACACGGGAGGGAGAGCGAGGTCCTCAGTGTTGTCCTGGACTAATTCTGGGCTTTGGTGGCAACAACATTTTCTTCATCTAAAGCTTTCAGCACAGTGACCTGAAAGGGAAGGAACACAGTAAGACTTCGGACCACTTAGTCTCACATCACTTTGATTCGTTGGTAGAATAAGGATGTTGTTATGCCCAAATAGCAATGGCCAGCAAGGCAGCAAAGCACTTAAAATTACATTTAAAAAAGGGAATGTTAACATCCTCTGTAAAATGTTTTTTGACAAACTAGTTAAAAAGACAACACGCTCTACAATCCAACTGCCACGGCCAGTCAGAATGACGAGTGAAAGCAAGGAATATTCTATAGAGGAGCCGTGATGATAGCAAATTATTATTATACTTCCAATAAACATTAAGGACACAATTGAGGTCCTTTTCAAATAAGGCAAATCCACACAGTGCTGCCTGCTTACAGTTATCTAGCTCAGCTCACCACGAAAGTACAAATGAAGAAGATGATGATCCTAGATTTCACAATACAGCTGTGGAACTGCTTAATGAAATGTTAGTGTATACAAATATTTCATTTGACTTCCTAGAAATGATTATAAACACTTCTACGTTGTTCCAGTTCAGCAACAGTCAGAAGAGTACATTTTCAGACCACAGAAACTCACCATAAAATTGTCTCCATTATCAAACTTCTTCTCGATTTCTTTTCCAATGTCGCCTTCTGGCAGTTTGAGGTCCTCTCTGGTCGCCCCACCGTCATCCATCAGGGACAAAAAACCATCTGCGACATCTATAACCTACATTTTCCATAAAACAGTAAAAACAGGTAGTGGTTAAAAAACAATACGATTGTGGTTAGTAGTAAATAAATCAATGCTATGATGGCACCATGTGGTTTTTCTGAATCGATTAAAGGGAATCAAGTCATCGTAATTCATGTTGCACATCAAACAAGATGAGTATTTTAAAGTTTCACTAAAAAAGGGATAGCTTCAATTTGATTCCATGTAAAACTATAGCAAATAGTTATTTTCGTTAAGTGTTTTGAACTTCTTAAATTTTACTGCCTGCCATTTAATACGTCGACTCCTCCTCTTGACTCCTGATCCGAAACGTGAGGTTTGTGATCCGTTACACAAAGTAATTGCGGTGGATTTTATTGAAAACAAGAGAAATGCATCCTAACTACAACAAACTAAACTTGGGTGAAATTTAAGCTTTTCTAACTAATTAGCATTCATCCGAGGATGGCGGCTTCTTGCATACATGAATGCACTCACCCACATGCAATTATATTAAACACACTAAAGTCATACAGCAAATTTATATTTAGCATTTCAACAGTTACATTTCTTTCACCTGTATTGGGGTGTGATCTGGTCTGATCACTATTTTGCAGTTTCCATTCAGAACCATTACTGATAGAGTACACGCTGCTAAAAGATCTGGTCCCATCTACTTAATGTCTTATAGGCACTTTGGGAAATTATGACTTAAAGCAGTTGCCCGAAGGGGTTTTAAATATTGTTTTGAGTCAGAATATGGGAAAAGGCTCATTCATGTTTAACACAGAATAAACACTTTCCTTAAGACTTTGTTTCTCAATAACTTTACAACAAACTATGTAAATAAGAAATTACATAATGTCTTAAAATAAATACAATTTGATGGCTAGATTAATTCCAAAATGTACAAAAAACGCAATACAGCCATGTATATTCCACTCTGGCACATAGTTCCAACTGGCCACAGGCAATGCAGTACTGCAGCAAGCCGCCGTTTTGTTCAGCCGAACCGTTAGATAGAAATAGAATGAAATATGCGCCTGGCAAAGTGTCCCAATGGACGAGGAAAAACCCGTCGGCTAAAGTTTTTCCTTCCTCTACCAATAGATGTTAATCTGAAAAACCTTTGATTTATGAAATAGTGGGTGTAAAAAAATGTTATGACAAGGGAAAATAAACCTATGAAAACAGCATTGGGTGCCAACTCAATTTAACATTTAACCACAAAACTAAAACTAAATCTAGTCTTCCCTCTTACTCAATAGGCAGGGCAGGAAAAAAAAAGCTTGTTGGCCAAGACAAAACTTGTCCATCCAGTTCTAAACCGGCACATTTGTTCACAATCACTGAAGAGACAGCTTAGCTGTAACGCGCCCATTTAGTAATGAAAAAGGTATTCACCATTTCACATCACACATTCTCATTAGGACGAGGTTGTCTAAAATTCAAAAGCACTTTGGGAAATAGATGCACTGGTGGTATTTTTAAAAAAAAGAAGTGTAAAACAGCAAGCACTGGTCAGGGCAACTAGTTTTGCCTTCCAGTAGAAACGAGTTTCAACAATTCACTCTGTAAACGGTGCGTCGCCCCACCGAGAGATCCGAACAAGTCATCTCACCTGGTAGTCTTTCCTTGTGACATGTGGGACATCCATGTTATGGGTAGATGGGCAGATATCTTCATACTTCTTCTGGGTAAAGATGTCAAGTCCAGTAAGATGAACCTGTGGAAACACCATAGCCAATTTAATCTGGTCTCAAGAGTCAAGCATTAAACATATAATAAAGTACTGAATTCCTAGCGATGTGCAAGGAGGTCTTACCTTGGCATGTCCGTGTTTGCCGGTCTTGGATGTGCTCATTTCCATGATCTTACAGGGACGCCCTTTGATCATGACGAAGCCATTCTTCCTTAAAGCAGAGCACTGCTGTGGGAATGTTGAGGAGGCCCCAGAGTGCCCACATTCAAAATCCTCATCTGCCATGATGTGCTGACGGGGACAACACAACAACAACAACACAAACCTGCTGTTATAGCAGCGCTGCTTACATACAAGGAGGCGTGTGGTACTGAGAACTGACGTTAGTGCAAATGATATTATGATAATCGTGTGGAGGATGGAGAGCCCAGATTTGTATAACTCCATTGTCCACATGGAACAACCAGCGTCGACACCTCAACCGCTGTCAGAAAGGAGTCGACAGCTGGAACCGCAAAAAAAAAAAAATCTATATCCTGACATCAAACAGGGAGACGGCAACTTGGCGCGTTGCTGCACGTGACTCAACGTTTAACGTTTATCTTTACAAACGGTCGTTGAACGTGGTTTAATGCGTGCGTTTATTTCCCCACACTTCTTTACAAACAATGGCGCAAGGCGGGGCACCCGCGTCTCACTGACCAACTATCCGCACGGCTAACTGCTACCGCCAATTGCTTTCGTGTCGAGGATACTTGTCGCCATGTTGCTGCCATCGCGAATATTCTTCTACGCACTGTTTTGGGAAGGGGACAAAACCCGGGAGAGTGCCTCCATGCTTTAATGTAAAATTGGTTCAAAACAACGTTTTAAAGAATAGCTAGGGTAGCTCGTGTTATTAAGCTAGCATCTCCATTACCGAGTAAGCTATGTTACGTGGCAGCTGGGCCAAATGGGGCTAGCATACGGCAGTAAGCTAGCATCACGTTCCCACCTCGTGTGTTTTGTCATCGTTAGCCACATTAGCTTGCTACATACATCCACACCAAGTGCCGCGGACTAACCACACCGTTGCTAACGCTAGCTAAAAATACTGCGCGAACTTATTCCCATCGCTTACTAATCATTGAGAAGTAACAGTTTAACTATCGAGGCAACAGAGGATTCTCGGCATTGTGCTTTTGCATAACGCGTAATTGTCCCGCAAAACATTAGTGTTATTTAACGTTAGCTACATGTTAACAAATACAACTTTTAAGCGCATACGTTTAGCTTACCTTTTGTCTTGCTAACAAAAAAAGGGACAGTCAGTTCGCATGCGTAGAGGTTTTGTACCGCAGGAGGAGCAGAGAGGGCAGGTACGGGCTGCGATGACGATGCGCGTGCAGGGGGAGGAGCGCGCTCACGCGGACCCCGGGACCAGCTGTATGACGGAAGCTTGTTTTACCACTGTGAAGAAAAATAATATTTTATATTATTATATATAAATATATTATAATATTATAAAAAATAATTTATCTCAGTCTATGTATATATTTATATTATATATATATATATATATTATTTCAATGATACATATAATGTATATTATTTATTATTATGGTAAATCGTAATTGTGACTTATTATCTCATTATCTCTCAATTAGTTTTTTTTAAATCATTTTACTGACTAATACGATATTTATCTTTTCATCACAGCGGCAGGAATGGGCTTCCATACTGTACAGAACTATCCTTAGAACTTACAGTTACTGCTTAGTTTAACTCCATCACAATTTTCGATTTTACATTCAAAACCCATCGTTTTCTAATAGCTGTACATTAAACCACCCAATATAATGTACAATATTTGATATTATGTCCATTTTTTGCTGCCGGATGCTGTGTAACAGAAACTGTCCTTGGGTTGGTAAAGCTGAGTTATTGCAGACCCCTAATCCTTGTTTTCCTCAATTTCTCTTGATGTGGATCTTTTCAAAGTCACTTGCTTTAAAGAAATGAGGATTCCCTAAAGTACAGGCACTATTGATTGATAACAAAACATACAAAGGTTTTTCTTTCCTAAAACACCCCAGCAAAAAAATAAAAGGTTAAATGACATAATTTGATTATATGGTTCAAGCCAGTCAATAACAAAAGCACATACATATTTTTTCAATACTTTTATTCCTACACTTAAAAGTCCACAGTCAATTAATGTGAGCTGGAGGCTCCAAGTGTCGACATTCATTTAGTGAGTTATTGGATCACTGTTGGCTGTAATGTCAGAGAGGAATGGCTGTACTTGCCTGCCTCAGCCGTTTTAAAGTTAGTATAGACAAATATCCCCTCTTTCAACAAAAGAATGTGAAAAACGCCTAAAAGTGATATTCATACATACGCATACATACACTTTTCAAAGGGAAGGCCAAACACTCAAGAGAAGTAGCATTGTGCAAAATGCATGTGTGTGTGTGTTTGGCTTGTGATATTTCAAAACAGAAAATGATGGAGGAGTAAATAACAAAAAAAAAATATTGGCCCGGTAATTCCACCGTTCTACTTTTGAACTGAATTTTTTTTTAAAGATGGGAGAGACAAGTTGCAAAAACAACATGGACAAACTTGATGGCAACTTGCTGCCCATTTACAAAACCAGCAAACGTGTAAGCATTCATTTGGGTTTGAGATTTTGGTCAACTGATGAATTTATACACAACCAGAAGGCTCCTTTCTGTATCTGTCTCTTTAGCTCCTACATGCCCTGCTACGTTCACTGCTCACTCAGTAAGCTTGTCTGGACACACGTCTGGTGCTGAGCAACGACATTAAGCTACAAGAGCAGTTTAATTGAACTAGAAAACTTAAACCTGAAAACTACAACAATAAAAGAGGCCATAAATCTCAGGGGAACCGCAGTCGGGGCAAACTTCTTTGTCGGCTCAACTTAAAAAATTGTAAAGTCTGGTTTAGAGTCTCCTTAATTCACCAAGTAACAAGCTACAATATTACATGGACAAATCGGACGTATATCGCTTGACGTTTGAAATACTGACAGTGAAACACGCCCTCGCACATGCAAACAAATAGACCACACCAAAGCGCCCGTGTTGTTTCACGCATCTGTCGATGTTTTGAGCTGCTGCAGTTCAGTACCATCTCCGGGGGGGTGTGACGACTTTTTCCGGTCCTTGTTGAAGACTCTGGCAATCTCCTCAAAGCTTTTGCCCTTGGTCTCGGGGACCCGAAAATAAATGTAAACAGTGAAGCCGAGAAGCAGCACAGCAAACAGGATGAACACGTAAGAATCCAACAAAGTCTGAGAAACAAAGTAAAAAGAAAAACACAAGAGTCAGGAGTTTTTGGGATGTTATGATTTGACAGCACGTATGTGTCTCCGTGATATTCTGCCTACCTGTATGTATGGAAAAGTCATGGCTATGAGGAAGTTGCTGCTCCAGTTGCAGCAGCCAGCCAGAGCGATGGCTGCAGGCCGAGGCCCCTGACTGAACAGCTCGGCAACTATGAACCATGGGATGGGACCGGGACCGATTTCAAAGAAACTCACAAAGAGGAAGACAGCTGACATGCTGACGTAGCTCATCCATGCGTATTCATTCTGGACAGAAGAGTACATCAGTCAGGATGATTCTGGGATTAGTTAAAATGATTAAATGCATCATAACATGTCATGCACATGGGCATAGAAACAAAACAGATCAAACTCCATCTGCTGATGAAAAACATGAGGTGAGGATTTTCTTTCCTGTTAAAGTCATGAATGAGCTTCTGCGCTCATATTGACAATTTATATCAAATATGTGATGAATATGAACATTTTCCAACTAGGCTTACACAGATGTTATGGTGAGCAATACAGCATTTGTTAAAGAACATTGAGTTAAGTTATATCACAAGTCAGTTAACAGATAAACTATATTGCAGGCCATGCGAATACACATGAGCGCCCCCTAAGCAGATGAAACGGTAGCCCGAGTCCTCGACGGACTAAAGCTCTGACACTGGATTTAACAAACCTGTAATTTGAGGCCCACTGTCATGGCAACTGCACAGCAGCACATCCCTCCTAGTCCAACCAGAGTCAGAGTGCGCCGGCCAGCTCTGTCTACCAGTGCAACCTAGAAGATACAATGCACACAGGCGGGGTCCTTGTAAGTGTGCGCTTGGAGGTAAATGCGGTAAGAAACAGTAGAATGTTCATGGTTTAACGCCAACGGGTGTCCATTTGTTTGGCATCTGCAGCTACTCACAGACAGTAGAGTGAAGAGCGTGTTGATGACTCCGACTCCTATAGTGGCGAAGACTGGCTGAGCGACGCCGGCCCGGGCGAAGATAGCCGTAGAGTAATAAAAGATCTTCAAGACAAAAGGAGTGCAATTTTTGTTCGTAATTACACAGCGGTTTGTTAGGTTGCTTAGCACACAACAGAGCAATACACATCTCACGCTCAATGGATTTGTCAGCACATAAAAGAAAAGTCCAGTCACTGTTGACAATGAAACTGCTATTTTAACCTATTCAAATCCATGTATTTTGTTGATTGAACTTAAGCAAACCGAATTGCTCAGTGTTAATTTGCCACTCACTGCATTGATACCGGACAGCTGTTGGGAGAGGTGCATCATGAGGGCAACAGACAGCTGCTGTCTGTACACAGAGGAGCGGATCTACGAGGGAAAACACAGCATTACTTTATTCAATGTTTTTTTTAAGATGCAAAACACACGCTTTATGTTTTTTTTAAATCTTGTTCTATCTTTCTTGTCCTTTAAAGTATTAGGAAAATTAATGTTTATTTTATTGTTTCCTGTTATGCATGAAATAAGTGTTTAAATGGGATTTATAATTGCAGAAATCCTGATTTTGAGTGGGATGCTTGTTTTTAATGCATTTGCAGCCTTTTAATATTGATTTGTTTTAGAAAGCGTCTTTCCCATTTATCGAATACTCTCTAAAACCAAATATTATATTACTTTAAAAAGGATGTGGAAATATGAGATCTGAATAACACAGTTATGAGTTTTTAATACAGTATAGTCAACATTTAATTAACATTTAATTATTCCCGAGTCATTAAATGAGATTACGGTAATGGTTGCTGACTCAATTGAAATGCAGAGAGATTGTCTCGCTCCGCCCTGAGGACGAGTGTTATGATGAACTCTATTTTAGCTCTAGTGAAATCAGAGTGATCCACTCATGGATTTTATCACCTTGGAGGACATTCACAAGACACCATATCTAGGTAGTTTGTGGCCACACATCTGAAGAGTCTTACCAAGGACAGGATAGAGACCTTAGGCTCCCTGTCTGCTTCCTCTTTCTCTCTCCTCATCTCTTCCAGATCAGGAGCTGCATCATACGGCCCTTTTAGACGATACAAACCTGCAACACAACACACAGTAAAGGTCAAGTATAAAGAGTCTGTATAGAGTAAACATTGAAAAAAAACTATTCCTTTAACTATATGTTTATTCCAGTTCTTTTGGAGAGTTAGTTGTAAAACGTTGACCCACTCATGTCCTTACAGTTAGTATGAAGGTACAGCCAGCGGCTTGCTAGCTTAGCTTAGCTCGTAGAATGGAAATATTGGGAAACGACTAGCAAACAAAGGCCCACCAGCACCTCTTCAGTAACATGTGATACCCTTAAAAAGGTATGTCTGGTTTCCTATCCAATAATTGTGTTTAAAGAAGAGGGCAGGAGTGAGAAACAAAAGGGTGAAACTAGGGTTGCCAACCGTCCCGAATTGTCTGGGACATCCCGATTTATGGGTGATTTTGATATGTGCCGTCAGGGACAGCTCCAGTCCCGTAATCCAATCACAGCCAATTTAAAAAAATTTTTTTTAAGACGGCCAATAATAGGCTTCTTTAAACGCACCAAAAACTCACGCGAATGTTGCTATGGAAACGGTTGTTGCTCGTTGGTGACAGTTTGTTTGAGCTGGCCACTGGGAGGTGAGCGTTATCGTGTGTCAAAATGAGCAGTGAACCTTCAAAGAAAAAAAGACTTTGCAGCTATAAAAAAGAATGGGAAGCCAAAATGTCACGGGTTAAAGCAGTCGCCAATGATGAAAGGAAAGCGTTTTCCACAGTATGCCGCCGAGAACTATTCATTAGCCATGGCGCGCCCGCGCACACCTGGAGAAAAGTGTCCCTCTTTTGGGGTTCAGGAAGTTGGCAACCCTAGGTGAAACAGAGAGTTGCTGTGTGTAACTCTTACTTTTTCGAGCCTCTTGCTCCTTGCCCTGTATGATGTAAAGGTAACGCGGGCTCTCGGGGCATAGAGGCAGCAGCAAGGTTTGTAACACGGCCGGGGCTCCAGACAGACCAAGCAACAGGGGCCAATGATCGTCATTACCAAACACAAAGTCCAGTCCTATTACCTGCATTCACACACAAACACACACATATACAGTTCAGCTCACATGTTAAGAATGTCATCGAGCAAAGACGTTGCTGTTCACCTCACCTGGCTGATTAGGATGCCAATGACAATAGCCAGCTGGTGTAATGTTCCCAGAGCCCCCCTGTACGCCTTGGGTGCGATCTCTCCAATGTACATGGGCACTAGCCCAGATGTCAACCCTGAAAGCCCACAAATCATGACTTTAAACAGACTGTTGATTGCGTGGAAATGTGAGAGAACATGCTTTAACGTACCACAATATAAGCCCATGACAGCGCGGCCAGAGATGACCATGATGTGCGGTTTCCACATCCTGCAAAGACCCATGAGCAGTCCGCCAGCTAGAGCTAGAATATTGACCATTAACATGCCCTTTATCCTGCGGGACAGGAACGGAAAAAGGGAGATACGGAGACAGGGTCAGGATGATGCATGATGACATTATTTCACAACAATTCTGGTTTAACTTCAACAAGTCTTCAACCTAACATTTGCCTCCATCAGTTCAATCAATCAATCAGTTTTTTTCCTTTTCATTATTTAAGTCAGTGTGTCCGTATCACTTTCTCCTTCCTTTCTCACCTCCCTCTCAGGTCTCCCACAAATCCCACCAGGAAGGAGGATAACATGCCACCGATGGAGAAGATTGCCACCGATAACGACCAGTACATGACGACGGCCGGGTGTTGCCCCGCCTCTGGGAACATGTCTTCTTCTGTGCTGTTTCCTGACAGGCCGCCGGCCTTCTCTGACCACACCCCCAGGGATCGCCCATAGTGCTTTTCAATGACCTGTGACACAGACATCTTTATCAACTGGTCCAATCGCCGCTGCACACACGGATCAAAGGGCACAGACAAAATATGCAAACACACATAGTTTCTAAGTATTTATGACATCTGATATTTAGTTTAGCATTTAGTTAAGAAAAATGTTGGTTGGACAGAAGGACAACCTAATGTTTTCATTGAACTTTAATAAATCCAATATCACTTCATCAATTAGAAAACAGTAAAGCACTAGAAAGATATACAGGGTAACTACAGTGCTGGAATGATGTTGGTGCTATTGGTTCTGGAATGATGACATTAATTGCTTTTTTCACTCCACTAGGTGGTGCTGAGATTTCTTCTGGTGAGGTTAAGAAAGCTCACCAGAAAAGACAACCCAGTCCACCCTCTACTCCACGTGCAAAGACCTGCATGCGTACAATGTTGTGGAACACAAAGACATTCGTCACATGCTGAAGACACTGTGACCCCGGTGTGTGAACCCGGGCAAATGACTCCTTCCTGGCCAGAGCCGTGCCCAAGCTCTGCGGAGAAGTTCTCTCTAAGTTGAGGGGTCTTTGAATACGGCAGAAAAGGTTGCGTTGACCTGCCCAGCGAGTCTGACACGGGCGGCAGCCATCGAGATGCCACAGTGTCTCTCAAACTGTGGGGCGCGACTCTCTCCTGGGTTCACAGTGGTATTACAGGTGGGGCGCATGCTGCCACTAATACTCATGAAACGTGTTTTATCAGTATGAGATGGCTCACACAGGTTGCACATTATTGTTATTTATTGAGGAATATTTTAACTTGTTTTGTTTTTTACATGTTTCCCAAGGCTTCCGCGCAAAACTGGTTAATTACAGTTATAATAATAATAATAATAATAATTGTTGACAAATATTTGTTATTTTTGGACAGATAGAGATTTATTTGCATTATTCTAGCTAGATGGTCGGACATTGTATTTGTTTGAAGCAATCTGGTTTATTCGAGTGAAGCAATTTGTAGAGCAATCCTCCAAGAGCAAAGTCATAAAATGAAGATAATTAAACACAATAAAGATAAGAGTTTTGTTGGGGCATGAACATTTTTCTTCCTCCAAAGTGGGTGGTGTTTCATCAAGTGTATGCAACATTTATGCCAGGTTTTTGGCCAGTCTACTTTACCATTGTGCTGCAATAAAAATAATTGACATTAGATGAATAAATTGGAGATCTTAATTTGATAAAACATTGACAAGTTTTCATTTTGCTGTTGAAAATATAGCCGCAATATAGCATGTTATTTCAATACTCAGCATATAGAGATCGCACTGTATCGTAGGTGTATTAATAATATCATATTGTGGGACCTCTGGTGATTCCAACCCCAATCTATTGCATGGTGGTTTTGGTGTTCATTATCTCTATTTCCCCATCAGAAGTAGATTAATCCATCAATAGCAGCAGGGGGTATATTTGTTTGAGATTGGAGGAGTTATTTCTAAATTTAGCATTCTGATATTTCCTTGAGGATTACCCACCATCTGAACAGAGACAGACAACATCCTCTGAACAGCATTACATGATGAGACCAGGGGGCACCAAGTGCACTTAGCAAGCTATGAATGAATATAATTAATTTAGACTACACTGTCAACCTTACACAACCCCCAGACCAGACATCCCAGGCAAGACATTTTAAGATTTGGGGCATTTTTATTCCCATAGAATCTTCTTTTAGACATCCAAAATACGCTAATTGCTTTATCACACTTTAATATTACCTAAATCCACAGACAGTTAGCATCACACAATGCGTATCTAAACATAACATTTCAGAAAACCTTCATAACAAATAAAGTAATCATGTTCATGTAAGTCATTGAGTAGGGATGTTTCATGGTTGTAATGATTAGTAAAAAATAGAATAGTCAATTAATCTGAGGTTCTCCCCTGTGCCATTCAGTTGACTTAAACACACTCTCAACCAATCATGGGTCCCATGACTTGACTCTATTGCCAACATCAACACAACAAAAAAACATATTTCCAAGTAACACATCTCAACACCTCTAAGAGCTTAAGAAGTTAAATGTTCCTGCTCACATACGTTCTAAATGTTGAAGGGACACATACAGTGACCTAAAGATAATTCCACTCCACTATAAATGCCCGAGGTTGTGTTATGTGCTGCTGGATCTACTGTATGATCTCTGTCCCAAACAAAGGCCACCTAAGGTGTCATCTGTAATTGTTGATACTTGGACACAAATGGAAGATGGAAGTTTGTCTCTTCTTTGCCAAAGCTCCAATCTCACACTCCAGTATGTCATTAAAAGTGGGGCCAATAAAAACTGACCAGAGGTTAACAGGAGGAAGTCTTCATGAGATCTGCATGTGACGAGCATAGTTTTGTCTCCTTGAAGGTAAGAGGTTGTGTCCACTATGGCTGCAGGGTTTGCGGAAAGTCGTTTTGACTCGTCCACCACTCAACAAAGACATTGGCTGTTGGTGGAAAGACACCCAAAGACCTTTTTCATTACAGACCAGATCATGTCAGCTTGCAAAGTTGCAATGAATCAATTCTGTGTTGGGCACACAACACAATTTTGGGCGTAGTTTCAGTAGACAGTGAGGTCCACGGAGAGGTAAGTCTGATCTTCGGTATTACGTATATCTCGTATTAGGTATATCTACAGCGTTCAATTCAATTCAATTCATTTTATTTTGTATAGCCCATTATCACAAATTACAAATTTGCCTCAGAGGGCTTTACAGTCTGTACACATACAACATCCTCTGTCCCGAAACCCACCATCGGCACAGGAAAAACTTCCCAAAAAATGAAAAAACCCTTCCAAGAGGGAAAAAAGGGAAGAAACCTTAAGGAGCGTTGCAGAGAAGTTCATACGATAACTTATTCTTGTCTTATAGAGCAAATGCCCATCATTTGGCTTAAGCTTATTAAGACCAGCTGTTTTTCATGCAAATATCAGAATGCTGGGGACCGTAAGGTAGCGAAGACGGCGTTTAAGTAGACCCTACCTTCTGGGGTGCGTTGATGACTCCAAGACTGTAGCCATACTGCAGAGATGACAGAGCTGCTGTGAACACAGCCAGAGCCAAAGTACCTGTTAGCTGCTGCAGGAGTAAAAAGCAGTCATTTAGATAAGGACACAAATGGATGCCTGATCGAGCAAAGACACAATCTAGCGTGCACGAGCACAAGAGTCAGCTGTTGTCGCTGATTACATGGCCACAAATTAAAGAGCACAAAACACTTTCTCCAATTTATCAATTGATTTGTTAATTTTCTCTGCACAATCATACAACCTTTTGCATGAGCTACAGATACATTTTGGTCTTCTTTCAGCCGATTTCAACACACTGATTCCTCAGATCCAAAAGATAAATAACCTAAAGCTTTGTACGTCAGCAGTAGTGAGATCCTCCGTTTTTCAAGTAATCCTTTTACAATTTAGAATGAAAAGGTAGAATATAATATATTATAACCATTTTATGACACACATGCCAAGAGTTTCCTTACCTTTCCTGACTCCATGATGAGTCCAGAGTGTCAGCCAGATGGCTGGTAATGATCAATGAAAGCTGCATGCTCGATCACGCTGTGTCCACTCTCTAATCGGCTGAAACATGCATGCACACATACACATGGATACTTACACACGCACACACACACGCGCACGCACGCGCACAATCACACACATCTATCGTGCTAACAGAACTCTTTAACACAAATTAGGCAGTGTTCTTATTTATCCTGTATGTACAAAAACATGTTACTATTGGAGGGAAGCCAAACACACACACACACACACACAGCATGCGTTTTTTTCTCTGCGCTTGTGAGGTTCATAACAGTGCATATGGACAATAATAAACCCTATATGGCAAATAATAATGGAACAGAAGACTAAAAAAACTCTCGCTGACACACGCAGGCAGGCACGCACGTGCACACACACACACACACACGCGCGCTGTTAATGATATACTTGCGAGGATGGACACAAAGTCTGAGGGTCAAAGCTGATACAAATGTGCAAACTTGCAAAACAAAGTCTCACAAACATGTCCAGAAAAAAAGAGCACAACTCCAGGAACATTAAGCGCTAGTTTTTTTTATTTCTCTCTTACAGTGGCTCTTTTACAAAACAAGTAAATCTCCAAACAGGACATTAGTAATGCTCTTTCAAAATGAAGAAAACAAGAAATAGACCTAATTAAGAATACAGTGGTTTCGTCTTTGAAAGGAGAGTCCTCAGTGTAATGACCGTCAGCCTTTCCCAATGGGAAGAGGGAATTCTGTGATGGAAAAAACATAATAATAACAATAATAATAGTGCCCCATTCACACTTTCTCATTAATCATACACACAATTGCATGCCACACGCACAGGGAAGACAGTGGTTTTCTTCAGCTCCGCTCTTTATTGCTAAAATGTTAGCCTGCTTGCCCCTAACAGAGATCTGTGATCCTTACTTGCAGCTGTGCAGGAGCAGCTACTGAGTGGACGTGTTCAAAGTCCTTGAAAATGTGAAATCGATTAAAAACGAAATTTCAAATTTGACAGAAAAAAATTCGTTGTAATTCAGTGAGTCAATGTTGTGACCTTTCGTTTGTTAACCACAGGCCAACATGGCAGGCCTATATTAACCTATATCAGAAATGTGTTAGGGAAATAATAACACAAACATGAATAAAAACTGTGTCAATTAACCATAAAGAAAAAAGTATTAATGAACAATAGTCTTTTGACCTCCACTTTTGTTTTGCTTACATCATGCTAGGCACTATACAAACAGGAAGGAGACGAAATTCAGAAGAACCAATCAGGGAAGAGCATGATTCAAAAAGACACCACAGCTTTCGAAAATGAGATGTTTCACATGCATACAGTATTTGGGATTGCAGCTCATGTTCTGGTGAGGTTTAATTCAGGATAAGTGTCTTTATATCCCTCACAGCAGCATGGCTGCATTTGTGAACAGCCCAAAAAATACTGTGGAAAAAGCAAAATACTTTAAAAAAACTAAAAACAAAGACCGACCGCTTATATTGCAAATCTTTAAATGCTTGACGTTCAGACACACCAACTCATAAAGTTCATACTAAAGACAATATTATAAATCTGCAGGTAAACACACTCAACGCTGCTTTGATCGCATTCAACTAAAAGTTCACGCACAGAGACTGAATTACGTGACTCCTTTTTTTTTTGGACATTGATTTTAATGTACCACTTTGATTGGAATGGGACTCATTTCAACACCAAGTCAAACACACACACACACACACACACATTAACATACCCTCCTGATTTCAGAAACACGGATGTGCTGTACATTTCGTCACACTTCAAAGACCGACTGACTCGGTCACAGAAAAAGAAAACAGGAAAAAAAGAAAAAAGACTGAAGCGAATGACGCTCTCATATTTAATATTACAGTATATCTGATGCAGCACCTTCAGAGTTTAAAGACGTGAGAGTGAAAAGAGGGAGATGGCGGCGAAACGACGGGCCAGTGATTTTGTTTTAAAGGGACACAGACACCATCTTTGCATACTGTGACGCCCCACCTGTGACAGCGGATTGTCTCAACGCGGCTCCATCAGCAAAATGCGATCCAACAATAATCACAATTCAGTTTACCCGGGACCCGAAATGAAGGCGAGAAGAGGAAGTGGAGCAGGTGAAGGGGAGTTGACGAAGAAGAATGAAAACATCAATCAGGCTCTCTGCTTTCCCTGCCGACACCCAGAATGGACCTGTCATCCCTCAGCGGCCCTGTCATCTCTGAATGTAAAAATTAGAATTTATATTAAAATCATATTCAGCTTTTCCTTTCACCTCCGAGGTGTAAGATCTCCATTAAGAAGCCCACATATGGCCGACTGGAAGGGAGGAAAACGGAGCACGGGGGCTGTCAAAGAATTTAAAAGAGTGATGACAAGATCCACCAGGAAGTAGTAGAGGATTAAGGACGGGTGGGGCTAAGGGAAGAAGAGCAGAGATAGGTGGAGGCAGGGTGCATTTCTACAGCTTTCAACACTTGAATGCAGTTACAGACAGAGGAAGAGAATATTTGGAAAGTCAGTGGCACCAGTTCGCCAGTCAGTTGAGAGACGGCGGCTTCTGCGTGACCCAACGTGATCCAGGGCGCCGTGGCTCTTCGCTTAGAAAAGATCTCCTCCTTTTTTTTTTTTTCCTACGCTAATTTTTTTACTCTTGTCCTACGCGGTTTTTAGTCTCTCGAGTGTTAATAGTTCACTTGTGATCCGGTCCGGTTTTGTGAGAGGTGCCGCGGGCCGGAGGCGTGAGGCCGGGCGGGCCGACGGGAGGGTGAGGCGGGGCGGGGCGGAGCGTGGGAAGAGCCCTCACCAGTTCATCATAGAGCTTCTGTTGAGGGTCATGAAGAACACCTGGCTGCTTCCTCCTGAGCGCACCGAAGCAAAGAATACCTGCAGAGCGAGAGAGAATATTAGTGAAGATGGTTACAATCTGAAAGCACACCGCAAGATGACGGGTATCCTTCACTGTGCCTCAGAGGCCTTTTCGGTTCATGCAACTCAGATCAGAAATGTTACTGTCGGCGTCAGCTTTTTGAGGGGATTTGCAAGATCAGTATTCACTCTTCATGCACACAAAAGCAATCATTTTTGGTTTAAATGCCTGGTTCTGCGCGCAAATCTGCTTACATTTGCATGTTTATGAAAACATAAAAAATTTAATGAACACTATCTGCTGATACATCTGAACTTGGTATTACCAGTTTATAGCAACAACCGAGTGCTCATTGTTCTATCTATGCAAATTATACAAAACATTGATACACACAATCGATGTCTTAACAAATTGTATTATGATATATATGCATGTGTATTGTTCACAGTCTTTGTCAGTGCTGCAATCAAGCCCCACAAAACCCATTTCCAAAGCAACAGGTTTTTTTTGTTACCTTGTCGTTGCGCTCACAAAGGAATTTGAGTCTCTGGGCTCTCTTGTGCATAAAGACTCCATCCAGATGACCGGTCTCTACAGAGCGGATCTCTATGGCTTTCTCCCCCCAGCCCATGATTTGATTTGAGTGGATGTAGGCTGGGGAAGAGAACACACACAAGACAAGCTTAACTGACAATAAAAAACATGCACATCTATAACATTCAGCTGCAGGACATTTGAAAATACCATTAGAACATCCCATAACCCCACAGCACCCGAACGCCCGGTGTAGACTGCACATTCATCACTAACCCAAGTGAGGGTAGCTTTACTGCTACTATTTCTAGTGTAATACCACTGGTTGTTACAGGAGGGCAGTGAAGTACTGTCCTACTGGAAGAGCGCTCACACGTCTGTTCGGGTGCATGTTTTTGGATGTTCTTTTGATCCGTCGGTTCTTACTCCCTCACGTTCCAATTCACACTTACACTTGAGCCTACGTATCCATTTTTACATCTTTTCTAAAAACTTTCACGCTCACCGCCGCCTTCCTCTCCTTACGTGCTCCTTTCACGAAGCTCCAGAAGCCTCCCGCTGAAGGCTGCTATGAAAGGATTTCTGAATCCAATTAAACCTCAAATGAACCCCATGAGTTTGGTTCTCAGAGAATCCGCGAGACCTTTCATCTGCATTGCAACACACTTACACGGGCACTGAAATGGGTATTAGAATATATCTATATTTTTAATTTACATCTTTGAACTGGGTTTTCCCCTGTGATGTTTTAATGACTCCAGTGATATAATAATCCTCCTAAATGTGCTTAACACACTGTCAGGAATTACTCATGTTGCTGGGACGTACCAACGGAGGTAGGCATCTCTCCCCACTGTAGCACCACGTCCTTGGTGATCCGCCCGTAGGTGTTGACGTAGACGCCCTCGTCCTCGTAACACAGCAGCATCTCCATTCCATCAGTTTTAGGGAGCACCACGATGGCATGGGGCGTCACCTGGCTCTGGATCTATTGCAGATACACACACGCAAACATTTCAGGGGCTTTCATTAAATCCGTCGAATGTAATCATAATCTAGATTAAAATATTACTGAGATTTTATCACGGACATTTAATGCAATCATATTTGGTCGGCTCTTTTTTCTCTTTTTTTGGGGACTGTTCTGCACACTGTAATCCTCTAAGAGCAAGTTTGTGGACATTTATAAGGCTGCCGAATATCAGGGGGGGTTGTGCATCAAAAGGTTCAGACTTTGGGACACACACACACACACACACACACACAACTTGGATCTGTGCAGTTTACCCAAAATGTACAGACAATAGCCCAATTATTTCTCCTGAAGTGTGACTAAAAGTCATAGTGTGACTAAAAGTCATACTTCAGGAGAGCAAGTAAAATGAATGAGTGACAAGGTGATGGAAAAACTCATCTTAGCCCACAGAAAACTGCATTTTCACAAGGATTTCTCATCTGGCAGCGATGCTCTGAATAAATTTGAATTAAGGTAATGCAAATTATTATAATAAATATTTATTTAATTCCACAATACCCTGTTGTGGCTCTAGTGTGACACATTTGCCAGTAGTAGCAGCATACGTCTTTTCACACTCTTGTGATGTCTCCTGTGGGCAAGAAGAATTTATTCATGCGACCTGTTTCTAGTTTAATTGTCCATTAATCTCTATTCTAATGAACGGTCCGGCACACAGGCGCATTTAGTACATCTGTGCATCCACTACGGGGATTTTACTAAAGATCTATTGAGCTAGTCTAAAGGGTGGATGGCAGGATGTCACCTTCATCGGTTTGGCACACTGGAAGAGAGGTTGGCAGGGAAGGAGAGAGAGAGAGGTAGCATAGATTAAAGACACAATCGCCTCAAAAGGAATATTTCTTCATAGTAAGTCAGCCCTCACTGGAAAGCATGAACTCAATCTACAATTGTAGATGTGTGTCCTCACATCGCTTATCAACCGTTTATATCTACTGCAATATGGTCACAAACCAATAGTTTGAGCTTGATTTGGAATACAAGCATGCGATAAACTAATCGGTATGCAAGTGCTGAAACTGATTGGCATTCAAGCACGTACATAGATAAGCACTGATGGCGCGCCTAGCTTTCATGACTGACTGACTGCTGTCATGGGGACCAGAGGTGCGCTCAAAGAATACGCTTACTTCTTAGAAACAACCCTCTTTTGGTGACCTTTGTTCAAAAAAGAGATTTTGTAGCAACTAATTGTAGCAGCTTATTGAATTTCTTGAGTACGTTGGTATTTTTTACCCCCATTTGGTGCTCCGAGCCCTGACAGTCCAATCCCAGAGCACCATATGCAGCAAATCAAAATAGTATCAGATAAAAGAGGTAAAACGCACATCAGGCTTTTACTTGCGTGACATTAAATCCATCACACGGGTAATCTGACAAGTCAAAAGTCATCGTATTTGTTCAAGCAGATCCTCAGAGGACAGTGGGTGAGTCACAGCTGACCTCGGCACAGCATGAGACCAGCAGGTTAAGAAGAACTGGAATAATAGCATCATTCCTCTCCGCTGCCTCGTCGTCCCTCATTTCATTGCACCTGAGCCCAATGTGCTCATTGGAGACGTACAGAAGCTACTCGCTCAGTCGAGCGCAGCCTTGCACTTACATGCGAGGGGATGTAGATGTCGTAAGGGTTGCCCGAGTCCACGTCAATGACATGGAAGCCCACGCTGGAGCCGTAGATGACCTTTAACCTCTGACCTTCCTCCACCGTCAGGTCAACCAGCTGGGGACGGTGCTGCAGCTCGGTGAAGGACTGAGGGAAACAGAGGGAGAAGAGAATGGATGAATTGGAGAGAGCAGGATGTTCTTGGATGGTGATCGTGAGCAGAGCGTGTGTGTGTGTGTGTGTGTGTGTGTGTGTGTGTGTGTGTGTTGGGGTTCGTGCTTCCATACCTTGAAGGCCATGAACTTGTGGTAGGGTTTAGGAGCCCAGGCATAGATTTCCACAGAGTTCTTTAGCGCAATCACAAGGAACTTAATCCTCTCGTATTTGACTGGAGACAGATATTGTGCATTTGATGTGAAAAACATTAAGGGTAGAAGTCAAAATACTTGGGTTTGTATAAGGTACAATTGTAGTTTCATAAAAATGAAAAGAATAAAATCCCATATTTCTGGATACAACAGTATGGTTAGTACACACTTCCGTTACGGTCAGAGGCGTCGAAAGTATTTATTTACTCAAGTAGAAGTATAGATACTAGGGTTTATATGAATGTCATATCTTTATCCAACCATAAATTCAAATTCACTCTATCCGGATGACGCGTTTTATCTGGATAGGTTTTTTTTCTGTGTGTGTGTTTTTGAACGACAACGAGCTGGAAAGAACCAAACCTAAAATGAAATAACGTGAATAAGGTGTAGAAGTAAAAAGTCGTCTGAAAAATTAATACCCAATAGATACCCAAAATTTCTACTTAAGTAAGGCAACAAAGTACTTTGTTACTTGACACCTCTGGCAACGGTAAAATGCAGTCAGTGGACCCTAGTGGCCTCCTCAGATTGAAGGATGACCCTGTTCTGAGCAACAGTCACTCCTTCATTCCAGATACACACACATCCACAGATCCTTACCAACTTTATAATGCACACAGCCCTCCAGCTCCCCAACTGTAATCCAGCCCTGCTTCTTCTCGACTTCTGGGTCGTTGTGTAATATTCTGTTCCTCAGCCAGGACAAGTAGTAGACACGCAACTTATTCTTTTTCCCTGAGCGGCGAGGGACAAACGTAGAAAGAGCAATGAGATTGAATTTGGGGGAACAAACATGAAAACAAACGGCAAATATATGAGAAACCAATTCAGCTGTTAACAGCACATAATAGCAGATTACCAAAGATAATGGTACAGGATGCGCAGACCATTTGAATGTGTCTGTGTTCGACCTACCAGATATGGTGACCAGCACATTGAGCCCCTCCAGCACGTCCATCTGCAGGAAGCGCCGCCTGGTGATCAGGTTATAGACTTTTCCCTGTCCACTTCGGTCTAGTAGCATGAGACCGTTCTCTGTCCCCACCAGCAGGTTCACGCCTGAACACACAAAAGGGCTCCACGAGTCAGAGACACGGGACGATCGTTGGGACATTTCAGATGTCCTTGATTTGTAAGCAGGATGAAGGATGCTCCCTCCTACCCCAGAGTGCAGCACACAGGATCTCCGAGTTGAAGCGTTTCTTGTATTTGCGGATCTCCGGCGTGTCGCTGTGGGGTCGGATGTTAGTGGGGTTGACGTTGACCACCGAGATCTTTCGGGCTTCGTTTAGTCTGGCCTGCTCCTGCCTCAGCAGCTCGCTGGAGAACATGGCTGGGATACCAAAGTCGAAAAGATAGTTGACCCATTGACACGTTGGAACGGCTGTGCGAGCAAAACAAAATGTCACGTGCTTCACTTACCTTCGGGGGACGTTTCGTCATCGTTTTCACTCGGGGAGGTTTGATAGACACGGGGATCAACGAATGGGGTGAAGGATGATTTGGACCCACCCAGACCGAACTGTAATTAACAAGCAGCACATCGAAGTTTCTTTAATGTGTCAATGGAACCCCCCCCCCCACATATGAAGGGTTATTAATACTAATTTTAATAATTAATTGGTAGATTTTTATCAGTCTTAAACCAGATACAGCACTATATACATAAACTATATATATATATACTATATACAACGTGTCTGACCTCAGCCATGTTGCCCAGTTCCTGCAAAGCTGAGGCGGGTGTTGCTGAGGGAGAGTTGCTCTGCTGCACCAGGTCAGGGAGGTTACCGTGGTTACTGTGATTCCCGAACCCATTACTCTCGCTGTGGCTCCCTCTCCTCCTCTCCTCTGCCTGAGAAACATCACAGAAGAGAAGAAGTTCACAACAAAGTGGGAGCCGACAAAGAAGCCAAATGAGCACAGTTTGAAAAAAAAGATTATGAACAAAAATGATTTTCATTCCCTCATCTGTGTGTGTGTGTGTGTGTGTGTGTGTGTGTGTGTGTGTTTGTGCACATGCATCACCTCTCTCATCACTAGAGTGCCATCCTTGGAGCTATTATAGGCATCTCCCAGAGAGTCCTCTGTCAGCCCTCCATACGTCTCACCGCTGCTTTTCGCTGCTGGCCTGCAGCAGACACACAAGAGACACACACACACAGTCCAGATTATTTACAGAGCAATTCTACCAAAACTATACTGACAGGCTGCTGGCATGGCGCATATTTCAAAGACGTGCAATCTTCAGCACCAATGAATACTGACAAGTGAAGCTCGGAAAAAAAGAAAACAACAACACAGCGGGAGAGAACCGACCAAAGAGAGAGGGGACAACTTACATGATGCGGGGGATGTCGCTAACAGCAACGGTCCCATCGTGTCCCACTGTCTCCCCGTCCTCATCGCTGCTCTCTGAACCTTCACTCGAGGACGAGTAGTCTGTCACCTTTATTACAATGTACGGAGAAGAGACAAAACACACAGTGTGGGTTTGGGAACCCTCTGAACTACACAACTGCGGTAAGATCGGATACTAATTCGGACTGCATTTAAATGGGACCTCGTTTTGTTTGTACAGAAAACACAGTGCACATTACTGTCCCTGTTTTCACGCTGCTATCTAATCAGACAAATGTGGCAGTGACATACAGAGGACAAAGAGCACTACGGCCAGAGAGAAGAACACTGCAAGCCGGCAAACAAGTGTAATCAAGACATGGTTTGAAATATTCCCAAAACAATTGTTTTACGACGAGAGGAATGCGTGCAACATGTTTGTTGATTTCAAGAATACACACAATGTGTATTTGTGAGAAATATAGAACATCGTTATTTTTTTATTTTCCTCTAATAAAGACCCCATAGAAGTAATATTTTAGTTTCCATAAGTTTTTATTTGAGTTAACTATCTACATGTATATATACTATTCGCCATCATCATCGCTTATTTACTCTATACAATTATTGTACCTTGACTGGGGGTCTGCTGCCCTCCTCCACCCTCAATTCTCTCAGTTCCTTAGCCAATGCACTTAGGTCCTATAGAGACGGACAGCAGAAGAGAAGGAGACAAAGTCAGTTAGTTCATTAGTTTTGCATCATCGTTTTTAAAAACCTGAGGAGTAAGAAACCAAATGACATACAAGGACATTGGTAGCAGAGAGGGGCAAAGATTAGGGCAAACCCTGAGCATCACGAGAAGAGGACAACTGATTCGTTGTCAGGCAAACTTGCTGGCCTGTAAACTTGGACGACCAGGAACAAGAGTGCTCATCTGAGATCAGCAGGTCTGCTCATTCACGCTACAACGTTCATTGGGACCTAAGAATTGGTCACAGATCAGCACTTTTATTCGCCGACGGGCAATAGTTCAACTATGTGAAGCCGTGGTGTTGGAGGAGGGAGACAGCTGGTCAAGCGCAGCATCAACCTGCACTTCATCCACCAATCACCCGCATGCCAACTGGCCCGTGGTTCCCTCCCCTCCAGATCCAACCCAGCCTATGGATCCGACCAAATCATGCAGGGGGGGGATGGGAGGGCGAGGAGGGGCGGGGGAGGGAGGGAGCGCGCATCATTCACGGTGGGCTTACCAGCTCCTCCTGACCAGTAACCATGACAACAGAGAAACAGGAAAAGAGATTCAGAGACGATTGAGGTGCTTGGAAGTCCTGGTTATACACACACACGCGCGCACACACACACACACACACTCACAACCCGCGCATGCATACACGCACACGTGCACAAGCACGCGTCCACATACGCTCCGTCAGGTATGTGTGTGGAAGCACAGATGTGCTACCATCGGCATCACACTGCGGTATTTTGAGGATAAAGAAAGAAACGTCATCTTCTTGTGAAATGAACTGACTTCACCATGCCGGGGGGTAAAAGGGGGATTCAGATCGAGGCAAAGGAGAACCTGGGACAAAAGAAAAGGGACTCAAGTGTCACTAACCTCATCTATGGCTTTCTTATAGCTCTGAAGATTGAAAAGGACAAAGAGAGGAAGGCAGAGAAAGAAAGAACCGGATGAATGGCAGAAAAAAGGGGAGAAGAGGCCCGCAGAAGATTCCCGGAGAAGGGATGGCTGTGAATGGAAGTGAATGTGTATGTCTGTGTTGAGCAACTCACTGCAGGTCTGCTGGGTCTGGCGGATTCACGGCCCTCCTCCTGTTTGGACTTTGCCTCCTGATTGGGTCCTGGAGGGGATTCATCCGATTTGACTTGACCTATCAGAACAAGGGAGTAATTACACATTTGATCTAGTTACATGGATATGTTGTATATGTTTGGATTCACATTTGATATATCTAAAATATATATATATATATATATATATATATATATATATATATATATATATATATATATATATATGTCCAATGTGAAAAAATACTGTTCTGGGTCAAAGCAATTTTTTTGCTATTTTCTCACCTTGATACTATCTTTTTTTTGTTAGAGCTCATCCGTATATACTTTCAACCCCTTTGCAAAATAACAACAAAGCAAGCGCACCAGTCCTACCATCCTCCTCTCTCTATGCCATGGGTTTGTCAAGGGGACATCCATGCATATCTTAGATATCCCTCTGGCCTGTTGTCTGACACATCCCTGCACCCCTCTCTCTATCTCCCGCTCTTATTTCCTCTCTTCTACCTCTGCGGAGGCTGAGAGCAACAGGGCACATCAGACAGGTTGATCAGAGCAGAACTGCGACTGACATCGTCCCGCTGATGGCCTGTGACTCTCGCTGAAGCCCTGTGAGGGCGTGCAGATGTATCTCTGTTCCCATGCACACAAGGGCAAGGACATGCACCCATTTTCTAATGGATTCACGTGCGATCGTGTCGGCGTCTTTGCATTTCAGAGTGTGTTCATCTGCTTTGCGAGTGTACTTTTGTGGCTGTCGGTGCAGGTCTTCGTACCTCTCCTCTCGGCTGAGCCTCCCTGAGACGAAGGGGAGGACGAGGATGATGAGTTGGACGAAGTTCTTTGCAGCATGGCGTCCAGCGAGAGCTCGGAGCGCCGCAGGTCTGGGTTACTGTAACAAGTTAAAAAACATTTTGACTCATATTTGAACCTCCATGAAATTCTAAAGCATATTTATGTGAGACCGGTGCTTTTTATATAAGTTAGATAAGAGCTACGGCTGTCTAAATTCTCTATAATGGCATTAAATACAGTTTAAAAACATATTACAAAACACAAGAAAATGATTACAGGTGAAAAGAAATACTTTTATTAAACCAGCCTGCATAAAAGAGCTTTACCTGGCCCGTATGAGGTGAGAAGCTGTGCGAGGTCCCAGGCCCACTCCTCCATTAGGGGAGTTCTTCCTGACCAGGGCTGGGGAGATGGAAGTGGTTCTCTGAGGGACCTGAACACCCACGGACAGAGGGTCAGCATCGCTGGTACGGCTTGGTTTTTAATCCCCTAGCGTTCTAGAGTTCAAAGTATCCCAAACACTCGATATGATATGACACAATAAATTGGTGGTATGAGAAAACAGGTGCGGTAAACTGGCCGGTGGTGCTCTGAACACTACTTAGAATTCTCACTAATGTTGATCGGCATTAGTATGTATAACAACATATGAAATGTTTTCAAATCTTTTTTTCTAGAGGAAAATGCATCAGCGATGGTTGACCTTGGGTGGGAGGTCCTCCTCTCTCAGCCAGGCGGTCCTGTCCCGATCCTTGTCTCTATCCCGTTCACGCTCATCTCTGCCCGCGGTGCGCTGCGGCGGCCCGGGGGTGTCAGAAGTGGGGTCTGAGTTCTGCCGGGGCATCTCGGGCCTGGGGGAGCCCACGCTGAGCCCCTCACTCAGAGCCGAGCCCGTCTGGTCCTGCAGAGACTGCGAGCCGGACATAGAGGCGGAGTGGGTCTTCACTGGAATAAGGTGGGCCATCTGTGGGATCCAGAAAATGGATTGAGATGAACAAACGTGGGGATAGAAAGGAAGACACAGTAAGGAGCGAGACAGAGGAATGAAAGAGAGAGATTGAGTTCTATGGAGGCATGAACTTTTAAGGAAGTGTTAAAGGAGTGAGGAGATACGTGATTATTTGTTTGTATATGGTGTTCACTAGGAAACCAAACACTCACATCTCATCCTTTTGCTCCCAGGTACACACACACACACACACACACACACACACACACCTGTGGTTCGATGGAGCGGTGGGTGGGTGGGGTGCGGGCGGGCTGCATGCCCACACTGCTGAAGGACTCGGAGCGGGGAGGGAGGGAGGGGTCGGAGATACGGTTGGCCACTTTGTGCTGCATTGCTGGGGAGCTCTGTCTGTTCAGCTTAGATCGCTCCTCCACCTGGGACAGGTCACATGCCACTATCACTCACAGCCAAGCACGCAGCACGACCAATCACCACGCGCGACCCGCTGTGCCTCCCAGTGCGCCCCCTAACAGCCACAAGACAATCTTACCGTCACAGTGTGGGACAACTATGCCTTGTTTTTACCTGTTGAACCGTGATAAAACGGCCGCTCTGAAAAATTCAGTGGAAATGTTTTGTTCTCAATGTTTTGGTTGCTTATCTTCTACCAACTGTTTCCGCGTCTCCGTTGCATGCATGCAATTGAGCAATACGAATGTCTGGTGGCTGTTGGGGAAGGTCTGTGTACGTGCGAAGGCGGTGAGCACACATACAACAACCCGTTTTGGATTTCTATAGACATAAGGGCTTGGTTGACTGCTTCCACCTACTTGTGGGATTGCACATATGCTTCATTGCCTAGGAGCACCAAATATTTGAGTGGGTAAAGCAGAAAGCTCTACTTGCCAGTGTAATCAGATTACCAGATTATCTTTCTGTGCAGCGAGAGAAGGCTGCAAACTGCCCAAATCACACTTTCCCCACTCTAAAGAATCTACTCAACGTGAGTCATGGCTCAGCAGGGCATCGTGTCAATAGACCCCAGGTAAACATCTGTGCGCAATGAGAAGTATCCCCCTTGGAGGCTTTCTGTAATTCCTCATGAGCTCATAATCTTGTGGGATTAATCAGGATTATGACTTGGATCAGAACAACTATGCAATACTGTGTCATTCCTCAAATGTTTGTTAGTTTCCCGCTAGGGAGTCAACCAGTGAGGTATCCAACATGTGTTTATGGTGGCAGAAAACGCCTCAGATACTTTGTTAGTTGTTGTATTTGGATTAAAGGGGACTGTGTACAAATTGTAGACAAAGAACCAAGTGAAAAATAAATATTCAGTGATTCAGTAGAAGCAGTGCTGTGATCCAAGTGGAGCTCAATCTGTTGATGTTTACGTGATCAAGGTTAGCGTAAACATCAACCGACCTTCAATGGAAAGAAGGATTCATATAAGAAGATCCCTTTAAAGAAGAGAAACATTTCGGGTATTGCAGTTTAAATCTTCATTTTCATGCATGGTGTTTGGGTTCATCCCTCGCCTCCCACCATAAAGCACGCGCTACCATGGCGATACTTCAAAGAGGTTAAAATACAGAGACTTGGAGGAAGTTAATTGTGGCCACAGCGGCATCTACACTAAGAAAGGACATAGAAAAAGATTAGGGGGGAGAGAAGACGAGGACAGAGGGCTTCCTCTGAGGATCCAGGTGTGTTTAAAGGATCCCACCACCACCTGGCCAGCACCCATCACCACGCAGGAGCTGATTGAATGGTTGACTGACCTAAAAAGAAGATGGGATGAGTGGGTTTCCCCTGATGACATCGACACCAACATGGCTAAGAGCGGACTTGCCATGGTGCTTTGTGGTTGAATGGACGTAAAGGGCAAGACGGGGCTAAAGAAAGGGTGACAAGGGGGCTGTGGGAGTGTGGGAGGGGGTGTTAACTGAGCTACCTATGCATCGGGGGGATATCAGAAACTGTTCCTGAATATCAGCACCTCAGCTCTGGATCTCAGTCGCAGTAAAAGAATATAGTAAGTATTAGAGCTTATTAACAAACAACTGAATTAAGAATAAAACACACACACTGTGTAGAGAAGAATGTTCATACAAATCCTTAATGAATGCTAATGTGCGTTTGTCTATCTATACATTATTCTCTTGTACTTCTTACTTTGTGAGAACTAGTTTGATTGGACAGCGTGTCTGTACACCATGCGTGTCCCTTGTCTCGTCGTCGGTTTGGTTTTTCCTGTGAACCCGACGCTGAGCTACAATCTTCCTGTTTCCACGTGAGCGTGTTTCTGCTTGCTCATAGGAATTATGTATCCTTGTTTATTTAAAAGTGATTTGGTTTGAAACCTGCTTTGCGTTTGAGTCCTCCTGAATCCCGACAGGATAGGATTTAGTTAAAGGGCAGTAGCAGTTTTTTGTTAAAAATGGGATTTTATTGTTATTTACTTAAGTAGATTACATTATAAATTCACCTCATAACCAGCAAATACACAAACAGTGTGTACCCTTGAGGTGGTATAACCCAGTAGTAAAGTACGTAGTAAAGGAAGCTACTTAGATAAGCATCGAAATTCAGCATTCTGGGTGTTGGAAATTCATTTCTTTTACCTACAAAATAGTGTGTTTGTGTGTGTGTGTGCCTGTAGGTGTGTGTGCGCTTTAGATAAGGGTCTAGAATCCTGCACCAACAGAGTTGATGCAGATGTGGTTCTGAGATCCAGAGGGAGAGCCATTCGGGGAGCAGTGGGGGCTAGGCGCGGGTGAAATGACGACGGGATAGCACGCCTGGTTTGGCAGGATGAGGTGGGCCTGGAAAGGTGGAGGCGATTTGCCGGCCGTGTTGGGAAAAACGTCGTCGAAAGAAAACGCAGGCGAAAAGGTACAGATGGACCACGGGCCTGGGGATGAGGAGGAGCTGTGTGGGGGCGTGCGAGGAGAAAGGCTAGACCCAGATATTTGGGAGGTTGGACTTAACAAGTTGTTATATGAGCCACTCCTTTGTTTGACCTTAGCCAGGTTCTGTCTGAGCATGTCGGCCGGAGCGGAAGCAGTGAGGTCAAACATAGAGGAGCTACCTTTTAGTTGGGTACCAGCACAAGGGGGAAGTAAGGAATTGTTATCAGGGACTTTAAGAAAACTGTTGGAGGCAGGTGAGAAGGAGCTCCTGCTTCTAGGTGAGAGGGAGTGGAGAGCATTGCAAGGAAAGGATTGAGATAAGTCATTTGGAACCATACTGGTAGATCTTCTTCTCCACCCGCCCTCATACTCCGGTTCTATATCTACATCTATTCTACCGCAAGGTGAGTGTGACCTGTTGCGACGAGAGACACTAACCGGTTTTACCCCAAGGATGGATAAGGGATTAGATCCAGGGTGAGGTGCCTGGATCTGTCCTGGCGGCTGAGGTTGAGGTTGTAGGGCCTTAAACTGTGGGTCAGGAAACATTAGCCCCTGGATGGCTGCCTGACTGGGCGCAGAGAGAGGCCTGTCTCTGGGCTTCTCTTTCTGCGGCCCCACAGGATATGGATTGGGTACTGGATTGGACCGGCTGACTGGCCCTTTACCAGAACGCCCTTTGTTACTCTTAGTAGGCTCCTTACTGGGCCCTTTCCTGGGAGCCTGAGTGTGTTCATGGATGGGCCCTGGAATTTGGCCCCTAGAACTGAGGTTTTGAGCCCTAAACTCTCTAACCTGCTGACTTATCTCCTGCTTCAGCCCCGGATCGAGGGTCTCTCCGGGGTCTAGGGAAATACGTATGTTGGGGATTTGGGGTGGGGAGGAGCTGGGAACCATCGGACTTGGTTCTCTTAGGTGCCTGAGTGCTTGTGTCGGGCCACGAGAGTTGTGAGATGAAGCCGATTGGTCGAATGAATGGCGATGTCGTAGTTGGGGGGCAGGGCGCGTTACTCTGAACATGCTGCTGCTTCGGGACCTAAGAGTCTGAGTCAGACGAGTGTAAGCCACAAAACAAACACATTCAAAGCAGACAAGACACTGTTATTGTTGAAGTCAAGCGGAAATATCAAAATGTCTTCAGAATCAAAAAGCATGGCCTTCCACCGGACAGCCGCTTCTAGGAAGACCTGCTCAACAACATATTGACAACACAAGAAGGCCACTGCTGTGTTTAGTGCACCGTAGGGGTTCATGTGCTAGACATTACTTGGATCGTCTCCAATACATTCGCACGTTTAGTGCCCTGCTTTCCTCAGAGACGACGTTTTGTTTCTCACTCTACAAAAATGATTTGACAACTTGCAAAATAACTCTGAGACTTACTTCTTTAGCCCAGGCAGGTTTGTCACTAGGATTGTTGATGTCTTTGTAGTGGTAAAGCGGTTTCTTCTCTGCCTGCCTTCCCTCCTGCTGCTGCTGCTGCTGTAGAGACACGAGGTAGGCTCTCTCCTGCTGGAGTTGCCTCTGCAGCCGCTCTGCCTGCCGCTGCTCCTCTATCTGCTTACGTTTGTACTCCTGCAGAGGCAGAGGGAGAAGGGGGGTACGGGAGGGACGGCAGAGATGAGGGACAGGAAAGAAACCAGGGTGGATATAGGAGGAGAGAAAGGTAGGGATATCCAGAGGAGGGAAGGAAATAAACACATACCTTTAAAAATGTATATGAAAATATGAAGGCTGATGATGGATTAAGGGACAAGGAAATGTTTAAAAATCGTGTGATGGGGGAGAGGAAGGTACTGAGAGGGAGGAAAAGATGACAGTATGGAGGGAAAGGTAGACCCCATTTTCCAAGCCACAACACCCTTGGATTCTGCTGTGGCCTCTGGGGCTTTAAAAGGTTGGATCTCAAAAGGTTTCCTTGAATATATTTTCGTTCAAAAATCTGATATAGAAAGCAGTGGAGAAGTACTACTAGGACATGCTGTGGATTGTTTGGGCAGTAATAAAACACAAAACTGCAGCCCTGGAGGAGACTGGATCCCTGACAGAAACCCTGCGAGGAAAACAACAATGTCCTACTTTCTCTTCGATGTTCTCACTTTGCGTGGGCCAACGTGATTGGGGCTGACAAAAATCCCTTTCCTGCCCCCCCCTGGGGAGTCTTTTGAGATCCAGCCAACTAAACGGTACACTTCATGCTGATGAGTGAGTGCAAAATGAAGTCAACACAAGCATTAGAGACAAGCACTTCGCGGCTTCTGTTCCATGTGTAGCGGTTGAGTGACTCAACAGACTGTGAATTCCCTCACAGACAGTCCCTCTGCACGACATGCATCTGGGACAAGGGGGGGGCACACAGCACAGGTGGGGAGCACAAGTGGCACAAGGGAGTGGCTACAGTTACCATCAGTAACGCCTGTTCTTGTAGTAGCTGCTGCTGGAGAATCTCTAACTGCCTCTGTTCCTCTTCCAGCTGTCTACGAATATACTCCTGAGCAGCGTGTCGGCACAAGAAGATAGAAATAGACAAGAAAAGATCAGGAAATCTGAACAGACAAACACCAACAGAGACAGCCGAGATAAAAAGGAACGAGATGCAGAGAAGATAATCTCCTAAAGTGGTTGTGAATGAGGAGAGAAGATGAGAGTCAGGAGCCAGATGGAGCTTGGGAGACCAGGTTCTTGAACAATTGTAATGCATTACAAAAGGAAATACGTCAAAGAGACGGAGAGCAGCTTTGAACAGATCCTTCCAGAACACTAGAAAAGCGTGGGAGGATAATAACAGAGCACTGAGAGGTACAAAAATAAATAAACATCTAAACAGCAGAGAGTTCAAAGAGGGGACGAAGGAAAAGAAGCAGAAAAAGATGTCAACTACTGGGGAGAATACAATAAAATCAAATGAAATACAAGAGCCCAGGCAGAGTGAAGGGAACCAGCTCGAGAAACACACAGGGCACATGGCAAAACCTATTACATTTAGATCTCTACGGCTACACACAATTTTAAGGGAAAATAAGACATTCTGGACCCGAGCTGTCATAATATCACACAATTCCCCAGCACCATACTGTCTAACTTCAGGAAGTCTGTATTTCAGTGTAATATCGAGTGTATGAACCTGTTCTCTCTCCGAATGCCTCCTCTCCTCCTCTCTACGGAGCTGCTCCATTTCCTCATAGCGCCTCCTCTGTTCCCTCTCATGCTGCTTCCTGAGCTCTCGCTCTCGCTGCTGCTGCTAAGAGGACACACGAAGCACAAGAAGAAGCCAGAGAACATTAAATTCAAATTAAGGAATCGTGTCTCGACAGAGATTGTCCCTTGACCCTCTTTCCTTTAAAAACAAACTGAATTCTTTCACCAATTATGGAAGGAATTATATTCGTAAATTCACACAGGCTACGCAAACACAAACACACTGGCTTCGCAGCAGTGTTCACAGGGACACTCGGGGACACACACTCGGCCCTGAGGGGAGGCGTCATGTTAGTTGAGTCGAGTCATGGTGCCTCGCTGTGCGTGGGGAGGCAAACCCTTGTGGTAACCCGGAGAGAGCTCACAGATTAAGGGCTCAGGATTTACCTCCATAAACCCGCACTCTGGAACTAAGAGAGGGACACTGGGGAAAGGCTGCATGTGTGTGTGTCTCTGTAAAGCTCTCCCGCTCTCCCAAATGGTGAATGAAAGGTTTTGTAAATTTGACCTGCCTGAATGTGGCACATTATGTCTCAAAATAGGCTTTAAAGTGTATGAAGTCAACAGCACGGAGAGCCAAACTTAGGGTCTAGGTTGACTTTCGTTGTGTGACTCAATAACTGCACTAGATAAACGCATTCCACAGGGTCAAAAGGTCAACGTGGAAACGTCCTCCAGCGTACCTCCTCCAGCCGCCTTCTCTGCTCCTTCTGTTCCTCGATGCGTTTCTGTCTCTCAGCCAACAGCAGGCGCTTGTGCTCCTCATTCTGCTGCTGCTCCAGCTGCTGCTGCTGCTGGCGCCGCTGCGCTTCCGATCGCTCCTTATTGGCCAGCTGCAGGCGCAGGAAGTCCCGCCTCAGGGTCGACTCTCCGGGGACGTTGATGATGGAGCTGCGAATAGGCCGCATGAAGACCGAGGCCGGTTAGGGTTGGGGGATTATGTCAAGTGCCTTCCTGCGAAAGAAACGTTTGTTTGCTTGTGAGGACACTGACCTTGGTTCACCCATTTCCCTTTCTTCATCCTCCTCTTCGCTGCCGCTGTACTCGTACTCTGTCTCATCTGACCGAGAGAGAGGAGGGAAAAGAATGTAAAAGACAAACATCATAGTAAAGTGACTGAGGGAATAACTAGCAGCTTGCAAAGCCATTTATTCCATTTCCTGTTATTCATTTTTCACTTGAACTGCCTTTGTTCATTGCCGAAGCGCTCACCCTTCTTGCATTCCCACATCCGCACTCCTTCAAGGCCCTTTCTGATAGCCGCTTTGAATAAGGGCATAAATTGCTATTTCACCGTGTGTAGCGAGGTGGAGGACATTCGCTCTGAGCTTTTCCAGTAAAACGGGTCTTAAAGCACACTGGTTGTGGAGCCGCCCCGGCTCTTTCTGAGAAACATCCGCTCAGACCTGCCCTCCGATTGTGACAAAGTGTCAGCTGCTTCCCTGAGGCGGCTAATGCAGATCTTACTGGTGCAAGTCCCGTGTGCGAGTGTCAGTCCGTCGCTCAGACTGTGTGTCTGTGCGTGGTGGGGGAGTGCAATGGAAGTCTGTCACAAACAGAACCTGCCTCTTTGTGCGCGTGCAGGAGAATTTGTGTCTGTTTGCGATTTGGAAAATTTCCTGAGAGTTTTGAGTTGGCACTCGATATGTTTTGAGTATTAGTGTCAGTTTTACTGTCAGTTGAACGCGTTCTTTAGAGAGCAAACCCATTTTAACAGAGTCAATGTTTTTCTCGCGGGGTTAGGGTTTGTTTTCAAATGTTTTGCTTTACATGTTGTGACCCAGCTACTTGATCCTGTTGGGGGGACCGTACAAATGTCACTGTAGAAAAGAAAAGAAATCCAGCACCCCTCCTTCATCTTGTAGTAAAAACTCCCACCAGCACGACAGCATACCAACGTATGATCGTATTTCATATGGTATATGTACATTTTTTACCGCCCTGTTTGGCAATGTTGTTTTTCAATAAAATAGAACATTTGCATGAAGCAAGCCAATCCACTTCTCCATTCTGATAAGAACATTAATAGATGGAAATTAATAGATGAAGGGACATTTAGAATAGACATAAATTTGCAATTACTTGGGATTGTGATTAATTTTGAGTTAACTTTGACATAAATGCGATTAATCGTGATCGCGAAATATTTTAATCGTTTGACAGCTCTAATCAGTGTAGAAGATTCAATTGTGAATCATGATACATTGTTAAATGAATTCATCCCAATATGGTTCTATAAATTGTATTGAGTTATGGCAAAACCCTAAATGTATGTGATCCAGAATTACTGTATAATTTAACCTCAATCATATCTGCATACGATTGACATTGCAGCTGTGTTGGAGCAGTGTTACGGTATAGCTGATGCATAATAACATTGTATACTGCTGCTTCTTCACATGAATAGCACTCAACTGCCCAAACACGGGGTGCCTTCATTGAGAAACATGTATTTGTCACGTATGTCCGTATCACATGGGCCTCCTCACCCCTCTCTCCTCTCTTCTTCTTGGTGCGGTCGATGTGGTCCTTCAGCTGGATGCGGATCTGCCTCTCGTTGGGCAGCTCTCTGATGAACGGGTGTTTGAGGAGCTGCTCGGTGCTGGGTCGCTGGCTGTGGCTCTTGACCAGACAGCTCTCTATGAACGACTGGAACTTCTTGGACCTGACACCGCAAAAACACACGTTACAAGATGCAAATGAAAAACCTGCAGTAATCGAGTGGACGTTTGAAGTGTTAATGCTGCTTGTGATGGAGCTGGACCTTTCACACTCACCACTTCTTTGACTTGAGTCTGGGGGCGGGATTGCGCGGGATGAGGAAGAGGGCTCTCATCGGGTGCATATCGCACAGCGCTAAAGATTCAGATATCAGGAACACAACACAGGTTAATGTTTCTAGCCAGTTATGCTGAACATTATCAGGGCAAACAGTCAAAAGCGCGCCGGAATCTCATTTGATTAATTCATGTTGCCCAGACGGATGAGAACCTATTATTTTTACACACACAGACACACAAACTTCTGTGGTCTGGTCTTATCGAAGAACACCATATCCATCTCACAGATAAGCACTTGTGAATGTACTGCTGAAACATATACTCTTCTGCTTTAAACGGATAACCAGAATAGAGGCCGCTTCAAACATTTGAAATGACTTGTTTCCCAGCTTGTAGTTCTTCCTACGTGTGTGTCGCGTGTGACCGTTTCCAGCAGTTGCTGACATCCTAATTAATGTGATTACTTTGGATTTACTACACACATACACATACATCCAACGTTAGAAGCACACACACTGAAATAATTTCATCTAGTTAGATTAGATGATAAACATCACTTCACAACTTCAGTTTAGTTTTTTTTTTTTTTTTTTTACCCAAGCAGAATGATAGAAATGCTGATGACTGTGTGCAAAAAGGAAAGAAAATGCAATTGGACAACTAATCCTTGGCCTGGACAGAAATAAAGGACTGCTGTTTAAGGAAGGATGTGTAGCAGAGGTGTGTGGCGTTGCAGCGGTACATACGTGGTGCTCCTTCAGCCATCTCTATTGCTGTGATTCCCAGGGACCATAAATCGCTCTGCAATGACAGACACAGTACGTGAATAAACGGCGTGATGAAGAGACGCCCCACAGACAGGCGTCCTAATGTCAGGCGGCTGTCGAAGCACCTTGAAGTCATACGTGGCCTCGGGGTTCTCGTCGCAGGCGATGACCTCCGGCGCCATCCAGTACGGCGTCCCGATGAACGTGTTCCTCCTCCCCACGGTTCTGTCCAACTGGGCTGACACGCCAAAGTCCACTACGGAGCAAATAAACACAAACAAACACACATTACTTAAACCTTTGTTTTTTTACCGGATACCGGACACCACTGGGGCTTTACTAAATTCTATAATGGACTCTAAAAGGGGAACGAATTGCTCAACCCACAAAAGCTTTCCCCATTTACAAACACACACATACACACACTTTATAATCCCCTCCCCACTGGGCTTTAGGGGGGGGGGAGAGAGTCAATTCTTCAGCAATCTGCAACACGAGAGGTGGCAGAGCTGCCGAGAGATGAGTAGGCTGGTATTCAGCATAAAATGAGAAAGAAAAGACTCACACACACAGACACACACTTGTACACAACTGTGATCCATCTGAAACGCTATACGTCACACTGCCCTCTCCATCCCAAAGCCGGTTTCGTCAAGTGGGGTTAGATGACGGACTGACCTAGTTTGACCTCTGCGTTCTCAGTCAGCAGGACGTTCTGTCCCTTGATGTCTCTGTGGATGACCTTGTGCTGATGGAGATGAGTCAGACCCTGCAGACAGCGACAGAGAGACACGGTGAAGGAACGCCGAGTCATGGTTATTACTATTAATCAAACCTAGAGAGCTTATTTATAAAAGCAAGCAGGTGCCCTTCAGACGGACTAACAGCTGTAGTTGTTAACGTGTAGCTGACCTTGACCTCTGACCTTCAAGTGCCAAATAGACTGGTCATGTTTACGTTTGGTACACAACCTGGAGTTGGTTATTTTGAGCAAAGACTGTCTGAAAATGTTTTCTTGTTTAATGTACGGACTGTAAAAAGTATTAAAGGAAAAACAGGCAAAGGAGAAAAAAGATGCCCGCAGAAAGAAACGAGACAAAATCACAGCAGGAAGGAAGGAAGGAAGCAGAGAGCACGAAATAAGATGCCAGATGAGGGGTGAAAGAAGAAATAAAAGTGGATGAAAGGAACTCATTGTTAGTTCTCACACAGCAGCACTGTGTGTATAAATGTGTGTGCAGATAGTAGAGATAAGATGTGGGAGAAAGCATTGCAAAAACACAGGTACCATGCTATCAACGCATCAATCAGTTATAAAATACTGATGAACTGGGAACACGATGAAGAGAACTTTTCTATTGCGATGCCTCTTTTTAGCTTTCGAATTAAAAAGCTCTTCATCGGTTCGGTGAGCGTTGCTCAATAAAAATAAAACAATAATACGTTTGGAATAACCAGTTGACAGAGGTGATTCTGATCTGATGATTAAACAATGATTCAACCACACGGGCACCAACCCTGAGAATCTCCCGGCAGATGTAAGCAGTCCACTCCTCTTTCAGAGAGTTTCCCTTTGTGTTCTTGATCAAGTCGGTCACCGAGCCGGCTCCACAGAATTCCATGACGAGCTGAACACACAAAAGCATTTATTATTGACTGTTCTGCAAAAGGGAGCAATTAACTGTTGCAAGCAAGCAAGTTGCTCCCGTTGAGCAACTTACCGAGGTGGCTGCTGACAGAACTACGAGCCACGAGTATTGTTGTTAGACAGCAATTCTTTTTTTGGTTGATTTGCTTCTCTTTTCCATATTAAAGCTTAGTCATTTAGTTTTGTTTTCATTTTAACAATTTAAATAGGAACATTACTGCATGAAAATTACAATTTATTTAATCTACTATGCACAATGATATTTTTAAACTTTTGGCTGTATTATTGATAATTGAAACATTGACATTGACGAATGTGTACAGACAAAAAGAGACGGCTTAATTTACATTACGCACATCATAAGGAATAGACACAGAACCCACAATCCCGTTGCTGAAGCAGCATTACTAACACAGAGCGTGACATGAAGACGGCCATGACTCTTTCCCTGTCACCCCCCCAAAGAAACCACCGCACACACTGACTCAACGGGGTCACGAGATCACATGAAGGAATTAAGTCGTGAATCTCTTGAACCAAACACAATGTGCCCATTCTGTCCACCCCGTTTCCCCCCTCCATCAAGAGCTGCCTCATGCCTCCGTCCCCTCCATCCCTCTCCTCTCCATCCCTCTCCTCTCCTCTCCTCTCCCCTCTATCCCTCTCCTCCCCATCCCTCTCCTCTTCTCTCCATCCCTCTCCTCTCCTCTCCATCCCTCTCCTCTCCATCTCTCCCCTCTTCATCCCTCTCCTCTTCATCCCTCTCCTCTCCATCCCTCTCCTCTTCATCCCTCTCCTCTCCATCCCTCTCCTCTCCTCTCCACTCCTCTCCTCTCCCCTCCATCCCTCTCCATCCCTCTCCTCTCCTCTCCATCCCTCTCCTCTCCATCCTTCTCCTCTCTCTCTCTCTCTCTCTCCATTAAATTGGAAGAGATTTGCGGGCAAAACCTCAGCTGGTCAGTTGTGACCTTGCTTCAAGTTTCTCCCGTCGTCGCTCCGGATGACGCAGAGTTGGCCAGTAATGGCCGGCCCATCTCAATCATGTGTACGCGCATGTGTACCCAGACGTGTAAAGGTGTATGTAAAACACTCATATGCGCAGCAGATACACAAGGGAACATATATCAAAGCGAACAGACATACAGCTTGTGCACTGATTAAACCTCCCCAACACACACGCACACACAAACATGGAAAACTGGCAGCTGTTGAGTCAGGGGGGATTATGCACGCGATAGATCTGGCTGCTCTATGTACATGCATGTGTGTGTGTGTGTGTGTGTGTGTGTGTGTGTGTGTGTGTGTGTGTGTGTGTGTGTGTGTGTGTGTGTGTGTGTCATCCCATTGTTGTGTGATGAATGCTACAAGAGCAGAGAAAAGAGAGTTCCCTTAGATCCCGTTAAGACATGATTTATTACAGCATCCAGTCAGCCACACGCTACGTCATATCCTTTCACACACACACACACACACACACACACACACGCTACCCCTTTTACAAAGCACACAGACCTGCAGTCCCTGCTTGCATGAACAAACGCACATCTGTCACATAATGTAACAGTGAAACATGGAAAGTTCTTTCATTCTCTCTCTGCCAGACATCGATACACAAAAACACACACACAAACGCACCAACACATGGAAAAACTGCAGGAAAAATAGAAAGAAACAACACAAATAAGCAAAGGTAACGGCGTACCCATAGCTGGTCATCTATGCCCGGGGGGTTCTTCTTGATGAACGCTCCATAGTAGGTGGCGATGTTCCGATGGTGACTGTATTTCTTCAGCATGTTAATTTCTGCTTTAATCTCCTCTTCCTCATCCTGACACACACGGGAGAAGAGATGTCAACAGGGGTCGTCTCTTTGTGACCCCTCAAACATATTCACAGGATGGTGACGCCGTTGTGGATAAAATCCATTTGGATTCCGAAGAATTGATCAGACAGCCGGGCGATAAATTATCCACAATAGCATTACTTTTTAATTACTTTCGTTTTAGGGGGTTACTGCCACAGCACTAAAAGCAGTTGAAACCAGTTGTTGTGTTGGTAGTTGGTTACTTAATTCTTTATTCATTATGCACAACATAAGAAATGTCCGCCTTGATTACTTCAATTTGGTGTTCATCAGCCGCAAGAACACAAAAGCTTGCTCAAGTAAGCTGACGTTGAACAGTAACGGCTCATTGAATTAGCAATCTCGTGTTCGCTCTCCATTTAATTTTCAATCACCAATTAAAACGGCCATTTATTTTGTATTGTATTTAACCAGATTTATTCATGCATTCATTGTTTATACTTCAGATTGAACACACATTTCACATTCATCTCCACACACATGCATATGCTCATTTCCTTATTAGGTCAATCATGCTTCTTTTCATTCATCAGTTCCTCTGCTGCTTCATTCCTGCAGCGTTGACAGGGAGGCTTAGGGTGAGAGGAGCTCCAAATAGAACTGAGACACTCTCCTGCTTCACAGACACGGCCGAGACTACACTGCTGTCCTAATACCTCTGGCTAATATTACCATAGCAATAGGCATGTCCTGGTTTCCTCTCTGCACCATCACACACACACACACACACACACTGACTCATGGCTCATAATTAGATGACACGGTCGACAGCGGTGGTGTAATCACTTGAGATGAATTGCCGTGCGAGGGCACGTGTGTGTGTGTGTGTGTGTGTGTGTGTGTGTGTGTGCGTGCCCGTGTGGTCAGCACACGGGTCTAGGTGTGTGTCTTACCCCGGTGACATCCATGACCTTGATGGCTGCCAGTTGGCCTGTCTTAACATGGCGCCCCTGGTGAAAGGAAGAAAGGAAACATTTGTTAAATACAACAGACAACACATGAGTTACTATGCTTTCTGGTCCTGATTTTTAAAACATGAAGGTACATAAAGCAGTCAACAGTCATGTGGAAAGCAACAATCAAAGGGAAGAAAAACTTAAGTAAACTGCTTCTCATACATGCGTTTTCTGATCAGAAAAACCATCCACTTGTCTCATCAGACTTTGAGTCAAATGACAATTTAATTTTAATTTCTTGACTGGTGAGCATCATCTTTGGTGAGCGTCGCCGTTTTCCAACGTTAAATGTGTCTTTGTTTTGTTTACTCTCCGCGGTCAAACACAATGGATCGTAGCCCCAATCCATCAATGTGATTTAACATGCAGTTGCAGCATCCGACCGAACCAGCGTCAGAGTAAAAATTGACGATGGTGGTCCAAAAAACGTCGCTGTCAGTGCCTCGCATCTAGCCCGAGGAGAAACTAAGACGGATACCGACCTGCAGACTTGGCTGAGTTGTGTAATATGGAGGCTAGGCAGATGCCTGGGGGAGAACGGAGGCGATTGGAAGCTGAGGGGCGACTGGAAGACCCAAGTGGTCCCTTTGCAACAGAGCATCTGCGACCGAGATTAGCTAATGAAGCTAATAGGGCTAGTCGCTAAAACCACTGACGGCTATCGCATCCACCCGTCTGGAATCGTCTGGTTCACACACTCAAAACAAGAGCAGGACTTGTTGTCTTGGTGGAAGTGTTACAGTATAAAGCCAGATGGCATCGAGGATCTGGCCCTGAAACGCCTCCTGAGGGCTTTAATCAAAGAGACATTCTGATAATGAACGCTGCAGCCAAAATAGAGGCTTGAAATGCTACAATAAGAACGGAAGCGCTGGATATTGCGGTGAAAAGGTTGGTGGTTTACTGTTTTGTAATTTCTTACAGTGTCACCCTGCCACAGGCCATTAGTCATCCTGCCTTCCATTCTGGTTTCATTTCATTTTAACAAATGTACCCACCGGCTCGCTAAAACGCCCTTTATTTGATGAACAGCTTGAAAGTAAGAGGTTATTCAATGAAAACATTTATAAACTGCTAAATTATGTGGGAAGCCCAACAGCTTGATTTTTCTTTTACACTCTAGTTTTATAAAGAAGCAAAACTGGTGATTTGGGCTCATTATGATCCCTCGTTATTTTTTAAATCCAAAAAAATCCAAATTGATGAACAAGAAAAAAAACAATAATACTGAATATCCATATTTTTGCACTTGTCTTGAAAAGTCGCCACAATTTGTTTGAGCAAGTAAACATGTTCTCAGCGGAGAAAACAGGAAGGAACTATGAGTTTGTACATTCGGGGATTGAGCGGTCCCTGAATGGGCCGTAGATTTAATTTCTCATTAACAGCCTTTAGAGAAAAAACAACACTTTGCTGATCTATTGCTAAATGAAAGTAAGGGATTTAATACGATAAGTCTTTGTGTCACAATGCAGCAATCCACAATGCAAACTAAGCACTACTGGATGGTTGAAAACTCTTTCTTTTTTTTCGCACACACACACACACACACGCACACACACACTCTCACAGAATTGACCTATGTGTGTGTAAGAGAGCTGGAAAGATTGAAGAGGGATTTCTCATTAGGATCAGACTGCCCCAATTCCACGAGCACAAGGAACGGCTTTGTTGGAGACCAACAAAGGAATTACAGCCACTTGCAAATCAGAAACTCACACACTAGCTCACAGACAGACACACTATAATTAAAAAACAAGAGAAATAAAGACCGGAGGAGTTAGAAAGTGACGAAAAGAGCGAGGGACGTGGACATCATCGGGGCTGGAGAAAGATTCATTGCATTCAGACACATTACAACCACCGTTCTGCCATCGCTCCTCGCTTCCTAGAGCAGCAACTGATGTCCTCCAGCCTGATTGAACGGACGAGTGTGAAAAGAACAAGAACTGCCTGTTCATCTTTCGCTCCTACTTTGTCCTCGTCGGTATAATGTGTGTAACAGTGACACCAAGACGTTGTGTCTTGAAGATAAATGGTCCTGATAAAAACAGACAAATGACTTAATGGTGAGTGCTGCAGCTAATCACTCAGTCATTAAGCTGAAATGCCGAATACTCGCCTATTCCAGTTTCTTTGCTTCATATCATTGACAAATGTGATTCATCTTTGGGTTTGGACAGTCGGTGGCACCAAATAAGCAATTTAAAAACGTTAACTTAAGCTCTCTCAACATTTAGACTAACTTATCGATCCAATAATTGATTAAATGATGGATCAACGGATCAAAGTATGAGCTGACTACACTAATTTACTTTCTCCCAAGAGTTTGATAAGAAGAACGCGACCAGTTTGGAGCAGGGCGGTTAGCTAGATTACATCTGCTTAGTTTAGCATGAAGATGAAGCGCGGGCGAAAAGCCGACCTGGCTTTTAATGTTTAAAATGAGCCCACCAGCATCTCAACATTTAACAAAAGTAGCGCTTTAGCCGTTCAACCTACTCTTCTGTGCATTCTGTGGTTGCTCAAACGTCTCATATTGACAACAGGACTCCATGAAGAGACACGTAAAGTTTACATTACTGTTTGTGTGCCAATGAAAAAAAGCAGTTTAGGTTTTGGAAGCTTTTGTTGTTGTTGTTGTTGTTGTTGGGACACACCCAATGCAGCTCGCTGGTTATTTCCCCTGTTGTTACGCTGTGCTAAGGTACGCTAATTAGCTCCCAACTTAATGTACAAAAGAGACGTCAATCACCTCAAATTCTCAAAAAGAACCTAAAAATGTAAATAACGATGAAGCCATGCTAATGAAAACAATGAAAAATGGTAATAATATCATACTGTTTACACAGTATTTCTTCTCATCTTCTTCCTAAGCACGTCCCACAGCTGATCCGTCCCATTCAGACTGAGGAGATTTTGAGCCTCGCAGGCCTGTTCATCCCTTCCTCTATTCCTTTGTTATCTGCTTTGCCTCTCTGACCTAGATCTCTCTCTCTCTCTCCCCCTCTCCCTCTCTCTCTCTCACCCTCTTAACTTCTCACAATCTCCTCTTTATGCCTCTCGTTATTTCTGTCCTCCTCCCTGTAGATAGCTTGCTTATCCCCGTCGCGTGCATTGTCTGTCTCTTCTCGTGCCTCGCAGCGCAGACCAGCAGCCTGTGTGAAGCGGGTCCCGCGTGAATGTGACCGAGCTGAACGTTAATGCCACCGAAACGGCGCTCGGCTCTGAGCCGGACGAGCAAACATCACACGCAAACGCGCTAATGCATCGCGCGCCTTCTGCCGACTGCAATGCGCTGACAAGGGCCCGAGTGTCTCTGCAAAGCAAAACTATCATGCATAATGAAAACTGCACACAAATGCTTTTCATCTTGTACGTCCAATTTGTTGTTACAGAGATTAACTTCCATCATCAAGGAGACATTTCAAAACTATCTTCACGCGTTTCCAAACCACCATTTCCGACCTCTTTAATCTTGTCGTATATTTTTTAAAGTATTTTAACCAAATATGATTGCTAAATATCTGTCACACACACACACACACACACACACACACACACACACACAAGGGGCTGTGATGTTGCCACGTGTGATTGAGCGATGACCAATTTGACTGTTTGTTCCGCTTGGATGGCTGCGCTGTGACGGAGAGAGCCCACTGATACCAAACTGATCCCCCATCAGCTTCGGGCGGCTGCATCGTGGAGGAGCCATTACTTGGTGTCCTCCCTGCAGGTCACGGTCTCTCTACCGCATGGAAATGAAATGTATACATGTAACGCTGGCTATGTCATTCTCTAACACTGTGAACTAAAACGCTCTATTACAGTCTATAAACCACTAAATCTTCATGATTGTGTGTGATGTTTGAACGCTCTGATTTTAATGCTTCTCCTTATTCCGTCCAGCATTTTGTCACAATGGTGAAGGAGACGTGTTGATAACAGGTTAAAACACAGAAAGCGAAGGTCACAAACACTTAAAAACTAACCTTGCACTAAATGGTAATCTTGCAAAGCTTAACTGGTCATATTGATTAGCAGTATGTGTCTGTGTCTATCTCACTATGAGTTCTTTGTGTAAGAATCAGACCAACAACCAAATTCAGAGAATACTCTGGTTTTCCAATGAGATGGAGAAAAGCAGTGATAGTCTGGAATACGTAGCATTTAACGAATGATACATTTAATACTTAAAATAGCTGTTCTTTATTTCTGTAGCCGGAAATACAATGAATGCCACTGCTAGTTCTCAGAACCATTGACATCCAAAAGTCGCTTATTTTGCCCAACGACCTTCCAGAACCCAAATGTATCTGATCTGACTCCAGCGGGAAACATCTCTTCCTCCTTCTAACCGTGCAGCCTCAGCCAGGCAGGTGGACATCACGGCATCCCGGCTTCCCTGTGTGTACATTTTGTGTGCGAGCAAGAAAGAAATGCTTTATACAGCCTGTGTGTATTTTGTTTGTGTGTGTGTGTGTGTGTGTGTGTGTGTCCATGCCCTTGCCAAGTCAATTACACAGACCCCCCCTCGGACAAATTTACGATGCAGGACACTTCCTGTCGTAGCCTAGCAACAGTCTTGGCAGGCCAGAGTACAGTGGGCATGACACTTGAGTATACACACACACACACACACACACACACACACACAAGGACAGGGAGAAGACAGTGACTAAGAGACTATTGTCCTCATGTGGGAGAGTATTTATTTAGAAGAAGCGATTGGGTGAGGAAACGGAGGGAGAGAGAGAGAGAAGGGGGGAGTGATGGGATGAGCTTAGGAGTTATTCAGTGAGAGCTGGATTTCACAGTGCATCTGTCCTCAGTGTGTGTCCACAGTGTGGCCGAGCTGCAAGGTCAGAGGAAACCTTCCAAGTGATGCCCAAAAAACAGCAGAGAACGAGCTGTCTGGTGTAAAAATAAGTCCGTAATGGATTTCCAGCCAATCCTTTAGACAAAGCACAATTGAATCACCTACACCGGTG